ACAAATCCTCAACAGCTGCTTGTCTCACTATGAAGCTGTACCTAGACTGTACTCAGAGCAAACCACTGGTTCTCACATTCCTTGTTCTCAGTCTCATGGTGTGGTTTAGCCACTGGCAGTCACTTCATTGATTCTGCCTGCACAGTTTCAAAGATCCTTGAAATAATTGCATTGTTAATAATTTAATAAGTTTGCCAATGATCACCAGGATCTGACTGCCTTGATGCTCCTGGACTGAAGGAGCTGTAGCTGGCACGGGAAGTTAGGGATTTGTGTAGGATTTCTGTTCCCAGCTTTCTGCATTAGTGCTGAGAAGTAATGGCAGGAAGTCTGGGTCCTGTCTCCCAACCTTGAGACATGCAGTACCTACCAGTCACTGCTGTCTGTTTACAGAGCTCATCAAATATCTGATTTTGGTCATCTTAATGGTGACTAGGCTGGTGGGTGTATATCTAATATTCTGTTTTCATCATTTCACAGGTATCATAAAGAAGAGGGGGAAGGTGTCCTCTGTGCTCTCCTATCTTCTTGCTGCTTTAGGAATTGGTGGCAGATTTTCATGTTGCAAAAAAGGTCACATTTCAGTTTCTAAGTGATGCTTAAATTAGGTGAACTATAAAGTTTGAATTTTCAAAGGTCATTTAAAATGCTGTTCAAAGACCCCATCGTATTCCTCCTGAAGTGATGAAGAGTTAAGCAACATCAAGTTTCAGAGGTGAAAAGAACATCTGGATACTGTGATCACCATTAAAGGAGACCAGGAACCACCAGGATGTTGACAGTGTAAAATTCCACCACGGATTCACCGAAGAGCAGATTGAAAGCTGCTGAATCTGCAACACCTGAAGCAGTGATAGATCAAATCTGATTGTTTCAAGGTGCTAGTGGTAACTGTGATTGACTTTGGTCTGATGATTTTGGACTTGCAAAGCCCAGTGTTACAGATTCCACCTGTGTGTATGGGCTGATTTGAAGCATTAGGATAAGGAGCATAAAAAAGAATGATCAGTCCTAGAAAACGTGATATTGGAAGATTATCCACGAGAATCTAGACGTGGTTCTTTTCTTGATGCTAATCATCAGTGCTGTCTTAAGGTATAGAAAGATATTTTCTATCACTTGTTTGTTACAGAATCCTTCAAAAAAACTGGGGGGAAAAAGAAAGAAGTAATAAGAAGAAAGGAATTAAAACTGAAAAACTACTCAGGATTTTTCTGACATCACAGAAATCCAAATACATACAAATACCTTCAGTTTATTGCACAAAAATCCTCAAAGTGACAATCTTTGAAGGTTTTTACTTTGTCTCAAATGAGAACTGTAAATTCATATACCTGGATTGAGATTTAATTTCTTAAATGCAGCTGGCAGCATAAATGTTTACAGGCATCGATTTTCTACTTGACAGTGATCTCACTACTGTATGTGGTTTATGTGGTGCTCTGGTACAGTTATGAATAACTGGGCAAAAACAGACAAAAATACGTTTCAAAGCATTATCATGTCTATGCTGCTGGTCTCAGTCATATGTGGGCCAAATACTCATCCTGTTCCTACAGCAGCAAGCCAATTGTCTCATTTTTTTCCTTCATTTCTGCTCTGTGAACATGGAGAGAACTTAAAAATTGTACAGAGACAATTGTCAGGTCAGCACTAGAGTTCTGGCTTCCTGTCATATCTGTTCCTCAGATACAGTCTGAGACAGAACAACAAAAAGGGATAGAAAAGGCTAGGAATGTTTGATATGCCACAAATTGGGAAGTCTCTCCTTCACAGTTAGCTCAGGGTTAGCTCAGCCACTCCTTTGAAATCTCTTCTGCTAAAAAGCACTGACAATACTGATCCAAGTATCTGTGCAAACTAGAATCTCTCAACTAACCTCTCAAATTTTAAAAGTCCCCAATTTAAACAGCTCAAACCCACAATCTTTATCTTCTTTCCAGAAAGTTACACTCCTCTGCTTATGTTTCAGTGCCTGAAGGGTCCTGACAGCAGGGATACAAAGTGGACAAATTAAAGAAAGAAGGGAGGAAGGTCTGTTGGTTGTTTCTGAGAGCGGGGGATCAGACATTGTACGTGAAAGAACAGAAAGGTGGGAAAACTCTGTGGACAATACGAATGTAATTAGAATGTGGTATTTTTCTCAACTGTCTGCGTGGTTCTTGTCTCTAGCCAGAGTCATGGATAAAGGATCTCATTTATACTCCCCTTTTTGAGCTGCTTGAATGGGAGGTAGTTTGAGCCAAATCTTGTGTGATGTTCCCATCAGCCTGCGGCGCCCCAGCCGTGCACATCTACGGTGAACCCTTGTCTTGGCTTCCCTTAACTAAGCTTGGGATGACAAATGCCCCTTCAGGCACATATTCTGCAGCTGCACTTTACTGTGACTGAATCTGAGAATGTGCTAAATATTAGCCAGGCAGATGAATGTTACAGGACCCTGTCTGGACTGATAAAGTCATGTTGTATATACTGCTGTTCTCTTTCTACGAGTTAGCGAGAGACGTATTTTTATAATGTACAGATTGTAAATTGTGAGACCGTGTTTTGGTTGTCTTTACACATCTTTATTTAAGTATTAATAAAACTGAGTATTATGTTTTACAGTACCTCGTAGTACCTGCTGAAAATTATTTTGATTTTTCTCTTGGAAACGCTATGAAACCACTGCTGGCTTCTGTCATAACGACAAGCTCAGGGCTTCATGTTGCAGGTCAGTGGGAAGCACTGTGTGTGAGGCAGACAGGTTGGTCCTGCTGGCACTTAGCAGTTCAGTGGTCTGGAAATGGAGAAATAATTCCTTCTTAACAGGCAACGGGGTCTTGCAATGCCAAGTGACAGACTGTGAGTTCAGGCTCAGAAGGTGCAAAAGGGCTGACTGAGGCTGCCTGCTAACAAAAGCAAAAAGGTTTTTTCATCCTTTCTAAATCTTTGCAGTTTAAAAGTTCTAAAATTAATCATGGTTCAAAGTCTGGATATTCCTGTGGCACAAAGCTCCTCCAAAATGCTTTTGTCAAATGAGTGTATTGTGCATAGAGACTGAATTCACTGGCTACCCTGAAAGAAGCTGTTCTGATCAAATCTGTGTTCTAAAAATCTTTTAGGATGAGAAAAATGCTGCTCTCTTTATGCCAATCTCTTTTTGTTGTCAAAGAAGCCTTGTTAAAACGCCAGGGATTGTGTTATGGTGGAAGTCAGACCCTGTAACACTCTCCCCATCCTTTAAATGTATGAAGCTGAGCTGATCTGAGAAATTGGAAATCTTGATCTAACATTCAGAATCTCCAAAGTGACTTACTGGGTGTATTGCCTTATCTGTGCACTCTGTGGCATAAACCCACTGCAGGGAATTATTACAAAATAATAATAACAACAAACTGAACCATGTTCTTAAAATGACACACATGTGCCCCTGAAAAACTAGTGAAGCCATCTCTGAAAAGTATGTATTTCTGATTATACAGGCAGCAGGAATGCCCCCTTCAGTAGCAAAATTCAGCACTTCCTGTTTTAGTACTAAATGGGCACTTGAACACAAGTTTGACAAGCTTTTAGACTTGGTTATTCTTTCTATAGTTACTTACATTTAGGGAACTAAACCCCCATTTATCTTTATGTGTTAGAATATTGTGCCCTAAGTGTCTTATTCCTGAATTGCCAGCTAGGGATTATACGAAACAAAGCACTTGTCAGTGTTTTAAGGCCTTAAAACTGCATCTGATGAAACCTATCTTGGAGAAAAGCTACTTGGCTCAATGCCAGTGCTTCCCCTCTTGAAGGGGCAGCTGAAAATTGTATTTGGGGCACAGAAATTTTGGGAACTGGGAGCTAGTTTATACTTCCTAGGGGCTAAAAAATGCCATTTGAGTGCAACACACTGGGAGTATCAGGAAAAAAAAATTTATATGCAAGTTTCTTTGTCATTGTTTCATTGTTTCATCACCCTGTCGTTCCCTCGTGCTGACTGTGGAGAGGCTCAGGATGTGTCTGGAGCCGGAAGCCTGAGCTCAGAGCAGATGGTAAACACAGACCTCAGAGGACAGACATCATGCAGAGTGAGAAATCAGGAGAATTGTTTCCAATTCTGCTTTGTCTGAAATGGTCTTGATACATCAACTTGGCTAAACAACTACACGGTTACAAAACTCTCACTTTTCTAAAAAATAAAACCAAACCCAGTCCAATACCTGCCCTCAGCAATGTGTGGGTTCCTCCCACCACAGTTCCTGATGTTTCAGTTTAGGTCTGATTTCTTAAGTTGTTCATGAGAAGGATTTCTACATGCTGGGCATCTCAGCATTCTGGAACTCTGTGAGGTACCTGTAGGAAAACTAAGATTTCCTGGAAAGCATATTTAAATTATTTTCTATCCAAACAGAAAAAATAACAACTCCAATATGACTGCTAATTTTTCATGGAAAAGATCAGTCTTTATTGTATTGCTTTCACATCTGTACACAGGAACACGAGCTTAAACAATCTGCCAAGTATTCTGTGTTAGATAATGAATCCATCTGACTTATATAAAATTCACTCTCTGATCTATTTCAAAACTCACAATTTAAATAAAATATCTTCCTAGCACAGTTCTTGCCGTTATACTCCCTGAACAGAACCTCCTTGCAGTCACTCCTGCATATTATCCCCTGAGAAAGCACTGCCTTTGAACTACTGGCTGGTAGAGTTTTCAATGTGTGATTGTAAAACCCTCTTAAGCTATATGTAGAGCGTGTCCACTTGGGTGACATGGTATTTATTCAAAAGTTTATCAAATCTGAGTAACATCTTGATTTTCTGTTATAATGGAACGTAGTTTATCTTATTTTTCATACAGTCCATCCCAGAATTACCCATGGAAGCCCAGCATGGTGCACGAGTCACTGCAGTTAGTGCACCCTCAAGAGGCAAAGACCTTAAAGAGAAGTCACAACTGACAAGGTCTGATGACAACTCTTCTTGTTGTTCTCTTGTCATTATTTCCATCTCCATATTTCAGAGCACGGTTTCTTTCCAGGACTTGATCCATTATCCTGGTCATAATCCATGTCAGGTGTTTAATGAATCTGTTTAAAAGAAAACACATAAATACAGAGTAACCTTCCATAGCTAAAATGAGCAGAATAGTCACTGTGTATGTGAGATATAGCACCACGTCCTTGACTTATTAAAAAAAAAAAGTTAAAAAATCAAACCCTTTTGTGACCATGGGTAATAATTGTTTGAGCAGTAAAGGCCTGAACAACCTTTCATAGAAATTAATGTCACAGTTCCTGTTAATGTCAGAGCACACAAGTCCTTAGTGGATTTTTAACAGAGGCATGAAGATATCAGTGTGAGAGCTTTGAGAGGTATGACAGTAAGTTGTGAGCCACAGTCCATCGTGCCAACTAGTAAGGGATGATCTCAGGACAGTACAACAGCTGTGACATACAGTGGGGTAACCTATTTTATGCTGGGTTTGATATCATCAGACCTATTCATTAAAACTGATTTTTGAACTGGCTACTCTCTCTTAACGAGATACTGTTCATTAGAGTGTTGTTATTTTTTGTGTCACTGTGTTAACCATGTATTGCCTACATTTGATGTAGCTCTAATTTTGGTCACTTCTCTCTTAATTTAGAATCATGTTGTTCAAACCACTTTGGATCCACTGGTAAGTAGTTACAGAATTAAGTAACATTTTGGGATAACTTCTTGGTCTTACTGGCAAGAATAAATTACTGTTATATTGCTTTATCCCAGTTCAACCAATTTGCCTTGCCTAGGTCAAAGTATCAGACTGCTATGAGATGGTTTTTTCACTACCACCAGAGGTAAACACGAGAGCTGTGGATTATGACGTTGCTGGGCACTAGTGACTGTATCCATTTGGTGTTGTGATCTTACAGATCACTAATTACTACAGTGTAGAATGGTGCAGCTCTGAGAGGGGATGACTGTGTGAGGATGAATCTGTGTTGAGGATGAGCTGAGGTACAGAAGGCCAAGAGCAGGTCCCCTGGCTGCCTGCAGCTCATCTGGGCTGTGTGGAGCAAGTCTCTGGAAGGACAGCTCTTCCCTCCTTCCCCTTTCTGGGTGTGAATGAAGAATGAACTATGATGATCACATGTTCTGCATGAGCTTGGACAGACAGAGGAATAGTGCCATGAACAAGGGTGTTAAAGGAAGCTGAAAGCAAACAGGCTGACACAGTACTGAGGGAAAGGTTCTTCTGTGGATTGAAAGCAGATTAAAAGATTGGAAGGAAAGAATAAGCCTTGGTAGGAAAGAACTCAGTAGCAGAGTACACCAGGGACCAATTTTTATTCATCACCATTACTGACCCAGAGAAAAGAATTAATAAAGGAATCTTCCAGACTGCAGAAAACAAGCTCTTTCAGGTATTCAGAGGCTGAACAGGAAGCAAATCCAGAAGGATTTCATAACATTGAGTGGGCAAAAGGTGTTGGGTTTGGAAAACATTTGCTAAATGGCTGGGCAGCAATGTGTCCTGTAACATCCCACATCCTATCACTGTGGATTCTGGGAAGCACAAAGATTTTGGTGTCCCAGAGAGCATCCCCTGCTCCTGTCAGAGGTGGAACACAGGGTTAGGGGATCGTGGTCTGACTCATCATGACATTCCACATGTTCCTGTGTGCCAGTTACTGCACATGCTGGGTCAGAAACAGAAAGCTCTTGTGTCCAGACAGGTATTTCTGTCCAATGTCTGTCAGCTACAGCACCTGCTAACAGCAAACATCGGCTCAAAATCCTGTCTCTCAAGCTAAGGTTACAAAAAGGGGAAACAGCAGCTCTACCAGGTAACTCATTTCATGTTTATTTGATTGCTTCCCAAGTGGAACTAAAAACTGGTCTAGAGCAGACAGTTCAGGGAGAGATTGTTAGTATTCTGCACTGTAGATCAAATTCTAGGCTTAAAAATAGCACAGCAAAATGTGTGGGGCCTCCAAAGCAAAGTATAAAGCCATCTAATGGAAGTTTCAAGTACTGCTGTAGGGCCGCTAGTCCAAGACTGTAATTTGTTGTGGCAGATATTAAATGGGGTGTGAAGTATACAATTGACCAGGATATTCAGTCTTGCCTTTCTCATTTTCTGATTAAAAGGCTGTCCCTCAAATTTCATGTGAACCTATTTTTTAACAGAAAATTTCAAAAATTTCAAAAACCAGTGGAAAATTATAAGGTAGAGAATATTTTTAACATCTCAGAACCACAGTCTTCCAATAGCCAGCATACCTGCAAGCATTTAACAGTATGGCTGTAGTAGCATAACTTCAGCTTTAGAAGAAACTCAGTCATGATATTTTTGTTAATTCTGCCCGTGAGGTTATTGTTCCTCACAATTCAGCCTGGACCAAAGGACACACAGTGACTTTATTTTACATCCTGTCTGCTTTCTGTTTTCTGACTTTCTGCAGGAGTGTGTCTCCTGCATGGCCTCTTTGGGCTCTGCTGCCTGACTGAGCCTTTTGGTCTATTTTTCCTGGCCCTTCAAAGAATATATTTGAACTTCAAAGAGTATATAACTGAACTAGAGTTTTACCCAGCAATCATATCATTCAGTGCACGTCATCATTTTCCATTAAACCATTACTTTCCATATATGGCTGCTATTAGTCTTTGCCCTTTTTATCACATATATTAGAAACATGTTTGTGTCTTCAGAGAGCACCACTGAAATTTTTCACTATTTTTTTCCAAGAGTATGGCCAAAGTACTAAAACTCATCTGGGAAAAGACAGACAGTGTGATAATTTCCCCAAAGAAATGGAAAGATTTAGCAGCTTGTGCACACTATTAAATCCCTTTTGACAGCTGCACTCCTTATAAACTAGAATCATTATGAGGGGACAAATATCATAGAGTTGGACTGGCCAAGTATACATACTAAATGTCTCTAAACAAATTATTCTTTTCTTCTATTTTAGGATTGTTAGTTATTAGCTGAACTAAAGTGGTACTTTGTCCTTCCTCCAGAGGAAACAAACATGAAGAATTAAATTGGATTCATTTCTTAATTCCTTTGACAGCTTAGAACTGGTAATTGGCTATTGCCACCTATTGAAGCAAGTTGATTACAGTAAGCTTCATTTTTATAGGAAAGAACTGGAGTTTTTTTTAATTATTCTTTAAAATTACTTGTGGTTGAGGCTTTTAATGCATGATGTACTCAGGCCTGAACTATATCTATCCAAAACTGAATGTCTCCCTATTTTCTGCGCCTTGTTTTAATTCACATTATTAACAGCAGCTTTTGGAAAGCTTTTTGAAAAACCTGCCTACTCTCTTTGCATTATATAAATAAATGCATTTGGTAGAAAATCACTTAGGACTGCCCATGGTTGTGGTTAATGAGTCTGTATGGACAGTTAAACAGAACCGTGATTTTGTCTTCCTTTCATCTAGGATGAAATTCCTATTAAGTACAAAATTCTCTTTAAAGCAGAGTTATCAGGTGAGTTTGAACACTGAACTTCTATTAATTTTAATAACAACTGATAATTCAAACCACATTTTTTAATTGCTCTTAAGCCTCTTGTTACTATAACTTATAAAATAGCCAACTGATCTGTATGATGGAGTCAACAAGCCACCTTGGAGATTTCTACAAAGAGGGAAAAAAATATAGTGAGAAATGGTAAGGTAAAATAAGTAACAGATTGCTGTTCTCACTATTTTTAATATTTAAAGTCTGAAAAGGAAGAAGTCAGGAAGTGGATTCTGATGCATTTATGTGATGCATTTATCCTGACACTGCTAGTGATAACATTCTTCTGATCTGCCCTTTACAGGACATCTCTGTTTCAGAGAGACAAACAGAGGCACAGGTGAGTTAAGCTCACAGAAGACACCAGTGGCAGACACAGCAAGTAGTCCAGCATGGTTATTTCCCTCTTCACTGGGCTATGTTCCCATAGACACTGAGCCTGCAGTTCTAACTGGCACTGTATTGATGAGCTGGTGAGTAAAGCTATTTCTCTGATTCAGAATTTAGATGTTGACATTCAGCAGAAGTGCTGAGTCATAAGTTTTTCAGTGCTGGGTTCTGCTCACTGAAGATATTCATCCTATTTCACCTTATGAAAAAATACAGGTAATGATATATAATACTGTAATGTAACAACATATATACTATATACATATATGTACACAATATATATACAATGATATATAGTATTGTAATACTGTAAGATTATATAAATTCAGTATTTCCTATTCAGTTCTGATTATTGATTACTTTTGCTCATCTTCTTTCTGATTAGAGTACTTTGTGATGAGTCACATCTGATTTTATGAAAGTATGAGAACAGTTATGTGACTTTAGTCCAGGGGACTTCGAATATAATAAAGAACCTGGCACACTCACTCTAAAACAGTAGATGACACAAACAAGCTCAATCCTGTTCAGTTTACACAGATTAATTTCTCCATCTGAATAGGCCAGGAAACTTCTTTCAGCTGCTTTAGTTAGCTGTCTGCCTTCAATCTCTGCCACCAATTATGCTCAGAAACTTGGACATGATTTTGCTCCTACTGACTTTATTCAAGTGAGGGTTTTGCTGCAAGAGAGAACAGAGCTTTTCTGATCCACATGTTCTTTTAATTTTACATCTAAATTAGCCTTTCCACATATTGTAGAATCACCTCTTGGGATTTCCCTCCTTTGTTTCCCTGTCACACATGCCACTCACCTCCAGGCTTTCTAAAGGCAAGGAGGATGCTGCAAGGATTCAGCTGAGGCTAATCATAGCTCTTTGGTTGCTCTCAGAAACCACTGGTGAGTCACATGAAGAACACTCCTATTTAATGCAAAGAGGATTCCTATGTGTTTTTCATCACTGCTGACAAAACTCAGACAAATTCCTCCTGCAGCGTCTCCTGAATCCTCAGCACTTCTGGGTGCGAGGCAACAGGGCGGGTGGGGAGCCCTCCCAGGCTGTGGAGAGCACGGATTAACACTCATACCGACCTCGGGTCACTGCAGGCTAGGCACCAAAGGAATTTAAATCTTCCCTTTCAGTGCCTTACTGCTGCTCCCAAAGCAGAAAACACAGCCCCAAATTACGGCCCTCCTCTGCCACCTTGCTAAGGGACTGGTGAGGAGGAATGGCACAGAACAGTGAAGAAATCTGTAACCAGGGTATTAACACAAATTCCTTTTCATGGTGACATGCTGAGTGTTTGCCTGGTAGCTAAATAATTATGCAATTTGTGGCTTGGCTGCTGCGTCTCTAAATATAATTAAATATATAAATACATGAAACACAGTAATAGCATACTTTTTGCTGCCTAAGAATTGATCTAACTTTAGGGATTTGTGATTTGATTCTCCCTGGAAACCACCATCTAACAGGCCAGCTTCCAAATTAAAGGATCAAGGCTGGAGTTGGTACCTATGCAGGCAGAGCTCCACTAGCTCACAGTGGATATAGACTGAGACTTATTCTGAGTTTTATGAAGACCTCTGCATTTTGATTTCTGCATATGGAGATGATAGGGTTTTATAGTCCAAATATCAAGAAGTTTTCAGATCTGCTTATCTTATTAATATGAAGGAAAATTCTAAGAAGCCCATTTATCTGCACTGAACAGAACTGTGCTCAGGCCCTATACTCCATCAAACTATATGTTCATACAACAGGAAAAATCCACTGAGGAAAATTATGTCTGCTGCTCTCCTTAGGTCTTCCTGAAAACTGATGCAACTCACCATGACAACTTTAGTCAGAAAAAACAGTGATTTTAAAAAAGTATTTTTAATCCATTAAATGGCATTAACCCATTAAATGGCATTGGAGTAATAAGATTTGGAGTTTGGGGGAAAGTACTTTGCAGGAGAAAATGGATAAGGATTTTTACACCAAGTATTTTGCTTAGATTTCCATTAGCTTTTAGGGAATTTCTTTCCTGTAATACGGAGCATGTATGTTATTTGCCCAGCTGAAAAAGGAGACAGCCACAAAAGCAGCCATCAGTGTTTCGTGGGGAGGTTTGTTCTGCTCCAAACCTTCTACTCTAGCAGAAGTGATTCTAATCCAGTTGCTTGGGATGAAGCACCAAATGTTGGCATGTTTCATTTTCAGTGACTCTATGCTGTGGGATTTCTCCAGTAGCAACAAAATCTGTTCACTCCCTCCTTATGTTCCCACGTGCCTTTGACCAAGTGTTGTTCAGCTGTGTTTGTGCAACCAATGTTACTCCAACACCAGTTTTTCCTTCTAAACTACTGACCAAAATCAGCTACTATTTCTTTATTTGAAATCTGAATATTTAGGAGATAATTTTAACCTATATGAAAGACAGAATGACAGGAAAGGTTTGTTTGGGTTTTTTTTCTAAATTAGAAGACTTTAAAATAGCTTGATATTAACTGGTATTTGTACAGTGTGTTTTCCGAGGTTATGCTTGAAATCTTATAACTAAATTTCCTATTTTCATCATTTCAAACGGGGGGGGAGGTATCCTGAACTGGTTTTCAAATTTACAGACAATATTTTGCTAAAAAATCCACTGGCAGATTTGCTAACACATTTAAATTTAAACTCTGAATGTTTTCATTAACATACATTTGGCACAGAAAGTCCTAGCCAGAAACAGTGATTTTCTTCCCAAATGCATCTTAGTATTTTAAAATGCTAAATCCTCACATTTCCAGAATTTTAGAATCACTCAGAACTACAAGAAATTGATAAGCAAACCCTCGTGCTACAATTAAAATGGGAAGAACGGTGAGCTGGGTAGTTTGTCATGATCCAACAGAGTGGTTTTAAAGGGCAGCTGACTGAGATGTATTCCTAGCTCGAGGATGGTCTCTGAGTTGTACTAAATATTAGCCGGGATGCTCATTTAGATTCAGAGCTGCTTGCAGGACGGGATGAGCAGAGTTGCTGCCCAGCTGTACAGGCAGCACAGCTGCAGTGGCTCCATGAGCCCTCGGGGGAAGGAAGGGACGCTGTCCCCGCCGGCCCCCGGGCGCTGCCGGGCGGGGGGAGCGCCGGGGGCGGCCCCGGCCCCGTGCCCGCAGTGCCGGGAGCTGCGATGGAGCGTGTCCCGGCGCCGTGCCCGCTGTGCCCGCCCGGAGCGCCCCGCGGGCCTGCCCAGGACGAGCCCCAGGAAATTACTTACTTCCCCGGCGAGGTCTCCGCGGGCCTGCCCGGTGGCAGCGGGTCCCGGCTGCCCCTCTGGCCCCTGCACCGGGCGGGAAGGGTGTCATTCGGAAGGGAAGATGCTGCGCAGGAGGAGCCGGGACGCAGGGAGGGCAGCCCGGGGCCGCGGCGGCCCCCGAGCTACGGCCATGCCGGGACGCCCGGCCCCGGGCCAGGCGGCGGCACCGCTCGGTCGCTTCGGAGCGCCCCGGGGCGTCACTCCAAGTACCCGTCAAAGACATCCAGCTCGCTGTCCGTCTCGTAAAGCACGGAACCAGGGTCGGAGAGCATCCCCAGATCCACCAGAGCCTGGTCCATATCCTCGGGCAGGAAGACGATGCCTACATTGAGGACGATGTACTCCATCAGGAAGGCATAGTACAGGATCAGCACGTTGACAAAGAACAAGCCCACGTAAAACATATAGGGCAGCACCAGCAGCGCATGGAAGGCCCAGGACTCCACCGAATCCAGACGTGCCGAGACCGCGGCGGGCATGCAGCCGTGGGGGCTGCGGGGGCAGCGGGCACCGACCCGCCCGGCCGGCGCGGGGGGGCGGGCGGCAGCGGCGGGGCCGGGAGCGGGGCAGGGCTGCACGACCGCAGCCCCGGCGGCAGCGAAGGGCAGAAACCCCGAGGAGCCGGAGCCGGACCCTGGGAAGAGGCGAACCCTCTCAGTGGCGCGGAGTGGCCGGCTCGGTCCCTTCCGTCCCCGGAGGACGAGGGGCCCCGGCGGCCAGCGCGGGTTCAGCGGCGCTGCCGCAGCCCCGCCACAGGCAGGAGGCTCCTCAGCGGCATCTCCAGCGCGGCTGCTGCAGTCCCGCCGCGGCTCCCTCCTCCTCCTCCTCCTCCTCCCGCCCGCAAACTTCGCGGCAGGAGCCCGCAGGCGCGCTGGGAGCACCTGCCGCCGGCTGCGGGCCCGGCCTGCGCGGCTGGACCGTGCTGCCCGCCCCGCTCCCCGCCCGCCGCCGAGCACCGCCGGGGTGGGGATGGTACCGGTACCGGCAGCCGGGTCCCGCTGCGGCTGCCCGAGGGGCTGGAGGGGACAGGAGGCGGCTGACGGTGCCCGACCCTCGCCTTGCCCAGCCCTGCAGCGCCCCGCAGGTTTGCGCTGTTCCTCTGCCCCTGGAAGTTGTTCTCTGTCCCCTCCTGGCGCAGCGCTGCGGGCGCGGGCCCCTCTCGGCTGCGGTGCTGGTGTTTCGTTGCTGACCAAGGCTATGCCTCTATCAAAATATATCCGAAAGCATGATGTTAAACTCGGTGCAATTTTAACCCTGGCTCACAAACTCTTCAGCTTTTACTTAATTTATTTCTCTGGTTAAAGCAAAAAAAAAAAAAAGAAAAAAAAAGAAGTCCCAAACTAGGTCATGACAGTCACTAATAGTCCTCTTCTCTTCATTCTTCTTTAATTTTCGAGCCGATTCAAAAGTAAAAGTGCAATCATTATTGGAAGAACCTCAGCAAGGGGAATGTCAGCAGCTGAATTTCGCTGCTGTGTCTCACAGCACAGAACCTGACCCCACACAGTTGCTCCCTTTGGGTTATGGAAGGTGAACAAGGAATGTCAGGGAACAAATTTTCATTAAGAAAAACATTGCCAGCAGGTCGAGGGAGGTGATCCTGCCTTTCTACTCTGCCCTGGTGAGGACACATCTGGAGTGTTGTGTCCAGTTCTGGGCTCCTCAGGACAAGAGAGACACGGAGCTCCTAGAGTGTGTTTAGCAGAGGGTGACAAGGATGATGAGGGGACTGGAGCTTGTCTGACGAGGATAAGCTAAGGGAGTTGAGGCTGTTCAGCCTCGAGAAGAGATGACTGAGAGAGGACCTCATCAATGTCTATCGGTATCTGAATGGACGTGTCAGAGGATGGACTGGGCTCTGCTCGGGGGTGCCCAGCAATGGGACAAGAAGCAACGGGCAAGAACTGATGCTCAGGAAGTTCCACCTGAACACAAGGAAGAACTTCTTCCCTGTGCAGTGACCGAGAACTGGAACAGATTGCCCAGAGAGGGTGTGGAGTCTCCTCAGTGGAGACATCCCAGAACCGTCTGGACACAATCCTGTACCGTGTGCCCTGGGATGACCCTGCTGGGACCAGATGACCCAGCGCGGTCCCTTCCAGCCTGCCCCATCCCACTACTCTGTGACACCCGCTCCCAAGGCCCAGCCCTCAGCGCCCACAGCGCTCCCTGTGAGGGGCGGCCCCGGCCCGCGCGGTGCCCGCCGGGACTCGCAGTCCGGGGGCGGGGCCGGGCCGGCATTCCCGGCGTGCCCCGCCCGCGCCTGCGCCGTGTGCGCCGCTGCCGCCGCCGGGGCTCTGCCACTGCCGCCGCCGCCGGGGCTCCGCCGCTGCCCGCCCGCCCCGCTCCGCGGCCATGAGCGCGTAGGGCCGCCGGGGCCGCGCTCACCGCCAGCATGTTCGGCCGCTCCCGCAGCTGGGTGGGCGGCGGGCACGGCAAGGCCGCCCGCAGCATCCACTCCTTGGACCACCTCAAGTGAGAGCGCGGGGCCGGGCGCGGGCTCGGGGTGCGGGGCCGGGGGTGCGGGCGGCGCTGCCAGGGGACTCCGACCGCGGGGCTGCTCGGGCGGGTTTCGCCGCCCTCTCCCGAGGGGAAGGGCACTGAGCGGTCCCGGTGGCGGAGCAGCCGCTGCGGGCCGGTGTCTGCCCCGCGGAAATCGGCCTGTCCGACCCGGAGTGTCCTCAGGGCGGACGCAGCTCGTGGTGTGATGTCATGTCACACTCACTGTTTGATTTTTTAATAATTGCCACGGACTCTTCGGGGAGTGGAGTGCGAGGGGTGATAACTACGGGAAATGTCGCACTCCTCTTGGGGGAGAACTTTGTTCGCTGGTAGCGGGGAGGTGTAAGCAGGACAGAGCCGGAGGTGTGCGGGATGTCGGTGTGAGCAGTGAGTCACGGCACGTCCAGGGCATGTGCCCTGGATTGCGGGGCTCGGCAGCTGCTTGAGAACTGTAACGGTGGTCTCTGGAGCCCCATATAACTCCCTGTGCTACTGCTGTCTGCAGAAGATGGAATAGTTGTTTTTTCCTTCCTAGCTCTGCCACTGGAGAGTTGGCAGGATGGCAAGGGATAAAAAAACTTAATTTCTCTGCTCCATTTTAAGTGTTGTGCTGTTGCGAGAAAAATTAGATCCTCCGTGATAACTACTTTGTACTGGAAAAGAAAAGGAGGTCATTAAGAGAGGAAGCGTTTTCTAAATGAAATCACTGGGAATATGTAGCTCATTGAAAAAAAAATGAGTGAGAGTTTTCAGTGATTAGTGAGATTACAAGGAGAACATGAATGGGGGCTGACAGAAACGAGCAGGATGCAATGTGCAAGATCTGGATCTTGCAGTTGCCTTATTGAGATGAATTATGGATTCTGGTCCTTGTCCCTAAACTGGAAAAATGTTCAAAATGAGCAAGACTAACTGAAATGCATTACTTTTTACCGAAGACAGGGAAATCAAGTGCATGAATACAAAACTGATGAGGCAGTAGCATTGCAGAAGTAATTTTGCATGCTAGGTCAGACTAGTAAGTCAACATGATCTAACACTGCAGGAAAAAGGGGAGAAGTCATGCTCAGATATAAACAAAGGAATGTCCTATTTAACATATGAGATAACATGATTAGGTACTCAGTGCTAGTGGAGCTTTAGAACTGTCTGGCTTTGATATTACACTTGAAGATAGAGCAAGAATGCTGATACAGGATGAATTTTGAAGAAACTGAACTTTAAGTTTAGAAAAAAAATAGGCTGGTGAGAGGGAGACTTGAGAAGAAAATGTGTCCATATGTTTTCTCGGAGCCACAGAGAATACAAAAACTACACACTGTTTGATTTGCAGCAAAAATTGGGCTAGAGGTGTCGTGGCTTATGCTTGACTTCTTATCTGAGAATTGAAGAATATAGTTCTCTGTTAAAATACTGGCTTTGGTCTGTTTGCTTTTTTGCATGTGACTTTTTTAATTATGAATCCAAAATGGTAATATGGAAAGGACAGACAAGACCTTTAATCTGTTTAGACTATGTATATTCTAAGTGCTTAGCCAGGCTGCATGAATTTCAACAGCAAAGGTAGCAGTAAGGTGAAATTTAGGGCTTTTCTGAGGTAGCAGCTGAAGTGGGTGAAGTAACAAAAGAGAAAAGGGCAGAGAGTCTTCATTTTGGGTCATGAAAGAAAGTTGGTCTAGATAAGATCCCTTGATAAGCTGTCTGCATTCTCATCTTTTCAACCCCATGTCGTGTGAAGGAGTTGAGTATAACACCCCAGCCTTGCTATCACAGAGAAGCTCAGCCTGTAAAAGGTGTCTTATGCTGTGTTACAGGAGTGAAATCTGTCCAGGTCAGCCTTATGGGAATGGTTTTATTTTGAAACTGGCATAAAGTAGAGTTTAGTCTAAACTGTAAACAATGCACCTGTTTAGTGATACCAAGAGAGTCACTGCTTTTTGTCAGTAAATGTTGGATCTTTACCATCAGCTTTAATGCAGTTTGTTTTGAAGCTTGCTTTTGAAATTTTACTCTTCAGTCTTTCTGCAAACACGCCATAGAACGGATTGGTTAAAGGAAAATTGTGAAGTTGGTTGTATTAAGTGTTTTATACAGTCTGTTGGTCTAGTGAAAACAGAATTTAATTCAACTTCTGCAATGTGATCTAGAGAGGGATGAAACAGAACTATGCACTACCTGGGTGCTTCTGACCATTATATTTCAGAGAACTTGGTATTTTTGTGCATCTTTGTTTCTAGATGCAATTTTTCACCCTACTTTTCTAAGATATTTTACATAGCCCTGCTATTACCTGCTATCACCCCATTGTTGCTTTTGCACTTGGTATTTTAATTGCATAGTGATTGCACAACAGGTTTTGTGCCATTAAAGTTGGGTGCTGAACATTTCCCATGCCTTGGTCAGAAGCAGTGTCCATAAAGGTGTGTGCTTGAAGTCTCTTTTCACGGGTGATTCATTTCCTGAGGTCCCGTCTGTGCTATGCATTGGGTTTCCTCTGTGAGAACAATATGTAATTACAAAGTTACAGCAGACTGAAGAGACAAGCATGTTATGCTTAAGTCTGGGGTTTTAAAATTTGACTGCTTGACTTCTAAACTCCTACCTGTTTTAGTGTATTTTTGTAAGTAATAAGTAGGAAAGTCATTAATACACACTGTCTGTATTCATGAGTATTTAGGTTACCCCTTTGAGCATGGTTTCTTACCAGAAAAATGTTCAGAATTTTGTTTGTTTTGTTAAGTTGCTGGCAGCATATCCCACTGATCTTGGTTGTATTGAGTACTTTAACACTTCCCGTGTGATGGGTTTTTGTTTATTTTAACCCAGTCTTCAGATATAGGGATAACAAAGGCCTCCTCTGAGGGATTTTGTGTTTTGGAGCACGAACTTGACCCCTCTGTAATCAGAATTTAGAGAGGCTTTAAGGATTTGTCTAAATATAAAAATACTGGGTTTGTGTGATACTTTGTTCTCATTGTATGTTATTTTACTTGTGTGGAAAGAGAAAGAAGTCTGTGCATGCTTTCTCATTTCTTTTCAAGTAAATAGATAAAGGAATAACTTGAAAGTGAAGCCCAGGTTTCTTCTAATTGTATCAGTGCCTTAACAAATTAAGGAACTTTGCAGTAATGCTGATATTAAGTAAATAAATTTGGAGATAATGTGTTCCTCACTATTAAATGTTTCTTCCTTTTTGCATCTGTAATGCTCTATATTCCTTAGGCTCCCCAGGTGAGGTAATAGCATGTAATTCTTCCCACTGCATCCCATTCCCAGAGTTCTACTGCTGGAGTAAACTTTATTTCCAAGCTTGTATAATGTGACTGATTAAAGAGAAATATGTGTTCACAGATGCAATCATTTATATGTGACTTCAAATAAACAGTCTAAAACATGTGAAGTAATGTGGTGTATAATTACTCTCTTTAACTCTGTCAGGAAAAGTACTTATTGTCCAGGGGTTTGTGGAATGAACTGATCTAATTGCCATCTCTGCTCCATTAACTGCTGCAAGCTCAGAGCAGGGACTTAGTTTGTGCTCTGTCTTTTGATTCACTGTCCTGATAATACACATAGTGCCACGATGGGAAGGTTTTGTGGGACTCCTGTGCCATGTGCTCTTTTAGAAACTCTGGGAATTCTCATCCATGGGCAGACTTAAGCTCTCACGTGTTCACTGTGAGCCGTCACACTGTCAGTCACCACAGAAGGAATCTTGAACCGTGATCCTTGGATTAGTGGAAGAGGATTTGCAGGTGCTCCCTGGCTGGCTATTTAGTGACTGTTATGGTACTACACGTGACCAGCCAATTATGACTGTAGGAGGTGTAGCTGTGAATCAACTTTTCCTGAAGTGGTTTCAGTCTGAGCAATTTCTGTTCTGGATTTGAAAATGAGTATTGATTTATGAGGGGAAAAAAACCACCATCGAGAGAGATATCTTTTTTTACTTAGTTTTTTTATTTATGAAAAACCAATTTTGCCCCCGTCTCCTGCCACGTCTTCTCTTTTTCCTCCTCTTTCCTTTGCTGTCTGGTGTTCTATGTAGTGTGATAATGGCTTTGGTAATGTGATATAGGCTTTGTCACACTGCTGATTTTGGGGGTGAGGGAAGGTAATGTGGTGTATCAAGTTTGTTAAAGCTGTGAACTTCTGAGAGCTGTTTGCCTCTGGGTGTCCTTGTGCTGTACTCAACACAGTAAAATGTTGTGTGATGATTAAGTAATATCAAGATCAGCAAGCACACGTTTTTTACCATCACAGCATAAAGCATTTTACCGTATCACCTCCTCTGAAACAGCCCCTGCTCCCTGCATGGCTTGTGGGGATGGACTGTGTCTTGCAGCAGGTCCTGTGAAGCTCTGCCCAACTCAGTGGCAGCTCAACTGTTTGAGGAAGGTTCCCCAAACAAAATTTGGCAATTTTTAAGTAAACTGTAAATATGGTCAAAGTTAACCCCCTTTCCCCTTTTTTTTGTGGGACAGAAGGAATGATGATGTAACAACTTATTATGGGGGGGAATAAAGCGCTTAACCTTGATGAGTAAAATTCTCAGACTTAGAATACAAGCCTTTCAGATTTTATTTAGCTTCCTGTCACCTGTGTGATACAGACATACCCTTTTTTTAAACTCTTGCCCTTTGTCATGGTAAAGCTGGAATTTGCCTCCTTTCCAATCAGTATTTCTATGCTGGGGGGGGGGGGCCAGAGACCTGGTGATGAAGCTTTGCCAAGATGAATGAATATTCTTTGACAGTCCTGATATTAAACATCAAATTGATGTGACTGTAAAGGATCTCTGCTGACAAGAGAAGGGATCTGATTTCTCCAGTTAGATCTGTATGTGCCTCTTTCCACAATTACACTTCCCCATACCAGCTACTGCATATTTACCTGCTTCTTCTATTTCTCCTTCTTCCTGCTCATCACTCCTGTGACTTCAACATATTCCAGAGAAATTCACATAAGAAGCACTGTGGGACAAGTGTTACACAATTTCTAGTCCCATTTTAACATATGCATAAACACTCATAACTGGCTAGTTAGGGATTTGTTTCCTTTGTCACATATTCTGTTTAACAACTGCTTTTCTTGCTGCATCAGTATTAAAAGGAAAGTTTAGGATTTTAAAACTGTGCAATGATTAGACGTAGTGTGTGCATATGTGTGGGTCTACATTAAGTTACAGTCACTAAAGACAAAGTGTCGGGACAGCATTTACTTGTATTTATTTTTACTTTTAGGTACATGTATCATATTTTGACTAAAAACACAACAGTAACAGATCACAACCGAAACCTGCTGGTGGAGACAATTCGTTCCATAACGGAGATCCTCATCTGGGGGGACCAGAATGACAGCTCAGTGTTTGAGTGAGTACTTCCGAGCAGTTTGGACTCTGCTTCTGTTTTTAAAGAATGCTTAGTTGTACAGAGTTCTAGTTCAAAAAGTTAACTCTTCCAAGACTGTATATCCTGAATGTGTGTAGAAAACCCTGTCCTGTAGCAGGATCATATTCATATTATACAAGAATTTGTTTATTTTAAAAAACGTTCAAAGTCCAGAGCCACTTTCGTGTACTGGTTTTGTTTGACTCTCCATTCTTTTGATATAAATACAAACTAACTGATTTTAGTGCCCAGATTTACTTAATACATCTATTACTATCATATTACTTCAATTTGTTCACTTCAGTTTACCTAAGATATCACAAATAAATGTCTTATTCTAGCTATGATATTTAGAGGTTTAGTCAGGTGTTGTTTTAATCCTTATAAAATAGGGTGATAGAAAAATGAACTTCAAAACAAATACAGTTGCAAATCTGGCAGTATTTAGTACCTTTGCTTCAAAACACTTGCTCTTTTACAAAGGCAATTTGTGATTGAGATAAGAAAAGCTGAAGTGTTTGGTGGTTTTCATTACCTATCTAGGGAGTGGTTGGTTTTCTTGTTACAAGATTATTTCATCATGAATTGGTTATGATGTGGGCCAAGAAAATTATTCTGATTAGTCATATCTATACTGTAATTCTGTCACATTCCTCACTGTCTTCTCTGCTTGGGAGAATTTTAGGAATGAGGAGTTTTTTCTGAAAGCAATTTTCATAGATGTGTATTTGTGATATCCTGGTAGGAAAGAGTCCCCATTGTTCTCTTATATTGCATTTCTGGTTTAAAAACACTGCAAGTGTTCACTTCTGTTTGAATCGTATAATAAACCATGAAATGCCTATCTGGGTGTGGGAAAAAATAATTAAAGTGGATCAAAAATAAGGTCTGCAGTGTTGAAAAGAAAAAGTGTGTTAGCTTAAAAGGGGCATGTGAACAAAATGTAACCTTCATTTAGAGGCCTTCTCCTTCCAAATTATGATTGTAAGGCAGGGAAGTTGCCTGATAAGTTGAGTATACTAAAATACAGTAAAAAAGGCCCTGATTTCAAATTTGAAATTCTTCAAATTTGCATAATTTGAATTTTTAAGCTGCCTTGTTTAATACTTAAAGTTTTTGAAAGATGTTCTTTTATTATACAGATATAACTTCACAAAATAATTCTTTCATAAGAAATGCAAAACATGCTGTTTGTTAAACTTGCCTTGAATCATCCCTGACCCTGGCCAAATTATGTCATTATGTTCCTTTATTTACAGCATGTGACTTAATGACATCTCTCTTTTATTTCAGCTTTTTCTTGGAGAAGAATATGTTTGTCTTCTTCTTGAACATCTTGCGCCAGAAGTCTGGTCGTTACGTGTGTGTGCAGCTGCTGCAGACTCTCAACATCCTTTTTGAGAACATCAGTCATGAAACATCACTGTGTAAGGGCACAACTTCTAAACTGTTTAGAATTGAGTGCTCAAGATTTGATTGAATCCCCTTTCATTCAATAAAATTTAGTATTAGTAGCCTTTTGCAGAACTATATATATTACTAACAATATTTTTAATTGAACGTTACCAACACAGAGTGTAAATTCACTCCAAAATCCCTTTTAATATAAATTTTCAGTAGTACAGAAGTAGTTGTTTGGTACTGCTGAAGCACTCAGTGTATTTCAAGGGGTTCTTTAAGTCAGTTGTGATCTGAAATGTTCACTTGCTGCTGCAGATCATGTGGTGGAGCTGTGCTGTATAATTTGTACTGGCACTGTTCTGACATCAGTGGTGCTGGCATTCAGCCATGGGCATTTGCTTCAAGGTTTTTGGAAAAATATGAAGAGGATGGAGAATTAATAATAGTTAGTTTCATGTACTCCACAACTGTCATGAGGAGAAAGTTGTATTCAAGCCTCGGAGAGTTAGGATTTGGGGAGGAAAAGAGAGTTGTTAGCTGCAGAGCCTACATGAATTGAGGAAGGTGAAGTATATTCTGAGTTGCCTTGTTCTTAGGAGCAAAGACCTTTGTAGGGAACAAACAAAGCAACAATTCCTTTATATTACTGCTTGAAGCCATCACATGAGTTGTTTGGCTAAAAATTGGTATCTTCAAGTATCAGGTAGTTTGTTGCTAGCTGGTATCTTAAATACAGCCTGTTACCATAATGATCTTTTTCTGTTAACCTATCTCTTATTTTTCAGATTACCTGCTCTCTAATAACTATGTAAATTCTATTATTGTTCACAAATTTGACTTTTCTGATGAGGAGATCATGGCATATTACATATCGTTTTTGAAAACTCTTTCCCTGAAGCTCAACAATCATACTGTACATTTCTTTTATAACGAGGTAAGTGAAGAAAGTTGCAGTATAATGATAAGTGGGCTTGAATTAGAAATTGATGGCAGTGTGGCACATACTCTATTTAGTCTCTTGTCTCATAATGTCTTGCATTTACTTTTATAATGATAATACTAGTGATTTGAGGATTCATTTGTGGGGATCTCTGCAGAAGCATGATAAAGAAGATCTTTGTCCTCATACAACTATAATAAAATAAAAATCTGGAAGTTAGTGTTATGTTGAACCATTTCAGGACTTCTGAATTTTACTGCCCTGAGAATTTGACTTGTTTATGCTTTGTTTTCTTGTGCTTTTGTAAGCAGGGTCTTTTCTATAGCATCACTTGGTTCTAAGATATTTAGTCAAAGTCCAAAAAGCCTGAGTAATGAAAGGGCAAAGTTGAAATCGTTTTTTCCTTGCTCCACTCTGCTTTTTGCCAGAAGAGGGCACAAAAGCACTGAGTATGTGCTCAGTTATGGTGGGAAGCTCTGATGCTTAAAGCAGTTTATTTTAATGCAGAGCTACAAAGCAGCTGACTGTGCATCATAAACTCACATTACTTAAGTAGAAGGTAAAAATACCATATTAATCCACAGGAAACGTTTTTCATACAGAATCCCAACAAATATCCTGTACATGTTTAATGAATAAATGCTTTCTCTCCCCTTGTTCCAGCACACTAATGACTTCGCTTTGTACACTGAAGCTATTAAATTTTTTAACCACCCCGAAAGCATGGTCAGGATTGCTGTTAGGACTATAACTTTAAATGTCTACAAAGGTATGCTTTTTATATATTAAAAGGGGCATGTGTGCAAATCTTGTTTGATTGTAGTTTAATTTTCAGTTATTTACATTTGAGGGTTTTCTGTTTTATGAGATTGAGAAGCTTAGCATTTTGACATGCTTCAGATACACATTTTGACTTTTATGAAACATTATCCCAAACCTACAGTATGTGCTTATAAATGGCATTATTTTCTCACCAGTGAAACTTGTTAAAAAAACCCCAAGATATCAAGCATACACAAGGAACTTTAGCTTCCCTTCCAACAGAGATCAGAATGGGACTGTATTTAAAAAGTAAACAAACAGAAACCAACCCCAAAACCAAAGTGTTTTAAGAATGCAAACAACTCTTTTCTGATTAAATGGAGCTTTATAGTGTATGAAACAGTAACCTACATCCCTTCCTTTTGAATTTGAAGTGCATTAGAATCTGACTGTAGAACTCCTGGGTGCTGCAGTCACCCCAGTCTAAAGAAGAGCCAGACCATTCCCAGAGGTGCTCAGTGAAGGCCAGGAGGACAGTTGCAAATTCCTGTGCTGGGCATTCCAGTAGGACATAAGGAAAAAACCTGAAACTTCACTGTTAAGCACTGCAGCAGATTTTCCGGAGAAAATGAGGCATCCATATTGTTTGAGATCTTGAAAACTCAACAAGGCCCTTAGCAACCTGGTTGAAGTTAGAGCATCTTTGAGAATGGGTTTAGACTAGACAATGTCCCAAAGTCACTTCCCCCAAGTTTTTCTTGGGGTATATATAAAGTTTTTAATTAGCTGAAAATATCACAGTGATCTCTGTAGAAAAATGGTTGTTTATTCAAAACCTCTACCTCTGAAATCAGCATGCTGTAGGGTAGTATTATGCAGTATGTTCATGTGGGACTTCTTGTTCTTTAATGCATTTTAAGTTAAATTACATGTTGAATTTACACAACTTTCTGTCCTTTAAATAATGGTTTGATGACAGTCTTTACAGAAGAGTGTAAGATCTTTTTTAAAGCAATGAGCAATTTGCTTTGTAAATGACTGAGTAGTTTGTATAGCAGGGTCTTCTTGCAAAGGGACAAAATATTTTTCTTTTGTATGTTGAGAAACAGGTACTTGGTACTTGGTCTTCTACTTCAAGGAATTGTAAATGCAAATGTGAGCTCACAAAAAGAAAAAATTATAGGCTTCATATCCTATTTGTGATATAGTTATGTACCTAAGTATTTTTATGGAAAAATTGTCTAGAATTTTCATTGAATGTTGTTGTAGTGATATAAAGGTTAGAGTTGAAAAAGCACAGCTCAGATGTTCAGGTTTGATAATTCTCTGACTATCCGTTTGCATATATTCTGCTCTAACACCTACCCTGTATCCTTTAGTTTAGATGCTTTGTGCTTTAGCTTTTTTAACCCTTTTAGAGGATGTCACTATCCCAGTTCCTAATCCTGTTAACTGTTGTCTGTTTCTTTTGCCCTTCCTTCACTGATGATTCCTGTGTTCCTTAATGCAGTGTCATGTAAGTCTAACTAGCTTGACTCTCAGCATTACTGCTTTATTCTTGTGCTTTTTTCTCTTCTTTTTAATAAATAATGTGCTAAAAGAACCTCTCTGAATTCCACTAGATTTGTTTATCTTCAGACATAAGTAAATATATCAATATTAGGCTCATTCAAGCAAGCTAAGAACTGATATGACATTTGTATAGATTCCATTTCACGCATAAGATCGTGTCAGGTATATTCTCATGTGGAAAGCCAGCATGTCATCAAAATTCAGAAGATACTTTGTTAATTTTCTTAATTAACAATAAAAAATACTGGCAACTCATGATTCTTTTTAATGATTTCAGTGGACAACCAGCCTATGCTGCATTACATTCGAGATAAAACTGCAGTTCCTTATTTCTCCAACCTCGTCTGGTTTATTGGCAGCCACGTGATAGAACTGGATAACTGTGTGCAGACTGATGAAGAGTAAGCTTTTACAAATGCTGGGTGTTGAATGGAAATGTCTTTCCCAGATGCTAAAGCTCTCCTTATTTTGTCTGTAGTAGTCCAGTTTTTGAATATGTTCCCTTGTAGACTGTTCAGGCTTTTCATTCTTCAAAGCTTTTAGTGATTCTGTAAGTTAACAGCTAGTGCTGTGTGCCTAATCTGTGCTAATATCCTTACAAGTAAATTAGTGTTTGGCAACATGCTTTTTCTTCTTCATCTCTCTTTAATTCTGCTAAATTTAGTAGCTATCCAGAAGGCAAAAAAGGTATTTTGTGCCTCTCAGTCTTATAATCTTTGTCTTTTTAATGTTCCTTTTCTATGTATCATCTCAGAAAAAGATCTTTCTTAAAAGATTCTAGGAAAAAAGTTTAAACTGGAAAGATGAACTTTATCAGACCTGACATAGCTGTGTAATATTCCACTATCAACTACAGAAATATTTTGTGATTCAGGTTATTCTGGGTTTGCCTTGCCACCCCCACCTTGGAGTGGGTGTCTGTTGCTTGCTTTCTTAAAGTGAAGAGGTAGATGTTAAATACAACACAGAATTCTTCTTTCAGTTTTGGGAACAAATCTTACCATTTTTTGTGGTTGGCTTGTGAAAAGCCTCTGTCAGTGAAGAAAAACTTGATATGTGCATCCTAAAGCACAAATAAGCCTGAACTCTGCTTGCTGCTTGCATTAGTTGACTGTACTGAAACATCTTCTCCAGGCAGTCTGTCTGCACAAGGTGATCTGTGGCAGGGATGCACATTAATTTTTTTTTTACCTAGGTTTTTATGACTTTCACAATTGCTAATGTACGATTCTTTCTTTCTTCTCTCTTTCAGGCACAGAAATAGAGGCAAACTGAGTGACCTGGTAGCAGAACATCTTGATCATCTGCATTACCTTAATGATATCCTCATCATTAATTGTGAATTTTTAAACGATGTGCTGACAGACCACCTACTTAATAGACTCTTTCTTCCCCTCTACGTGTATTCATTAGTAAATCAAGATAAGGTAAGCTAATATCTGCAAACAGTTAATCCTCAAAGCTATTTCTTGCTTTCAGCATAGTGATTTGTTCAGGATGTGTCTGCTGTAGTAGGGTTAATACTGTTGCTGCCTGTGTTTGTGTGTTTTACATGAAACAGCTTCAGTAAGGTGACTGTCAGGGAAATACCCTGAAAATAAATTTAAGAGCACAATAGATTCAATGTTATTCACCAAAGAAGTACTGCTTTGAATGATGTGGTGGTTAAAAGCTGCCAGTAGTGCAGACAAGAACAACTGTGAATTCAGAACAGGGTTTAAATTTCTCTGACACTGGGAGACGTGTGATTTCCTTTTCTGATAAGGTAACTTGTCTTCTGGCAAAAGCAGGTTATAATACCTTTTCACAGTATACATGCAAATTTTCCATGATGTTAAAGTCTGTACCACATGGAAAATACAAACTTTTGATTTTGATACTGGATCCTTCAATTTGCAGAGAAGCTGTGCTGGAATGTGATACAACTGAATTTATTTTTAAGACACAACCTTTAAATTTGGTGGAGAGCTACTTTTTAATGAAATAGAAACTGTTCTTTTAAAACCTGAACAAGTTTCTGCATTCGGTTGTCTTTTAAAAAAATTAAATAATTCACTGTTCGGTTCATTTCTGGTTTTTCTTTTTTCTTTTTTTTTTTTTTTCCCCCCTCCTCTCTTCTTGTACTGTAGTGGTGTTTTTTTAAGATCACAATGCTTTGGAATTTCAGCATGCTTTCATTAGATCAGGTTTCTTGCAAGTTACTAAATTCAGTATGTTGCATGTGCACTGAAGATTGAATTAGCAATCGGCCTCTTGTCTTGCCATTGATAAGACCATTGAAATAGAGTGCAGGAGCTTGCCTGACTTTTACTTTCATTTCAGCTACTTTGACTCATTCCATGTACAAAAATCTGCTTGTCCTCCTATTTTCAGGCAGGTGTCTGTTATCATGAGGCTGGAGATATTTGCAGTCATAAAACTGGGCTGCTCCTACCTTCTGATGAATTTGTTTGGTGATTTTTCTAAAGTATCACTGATTTATTTTTAGAAACATTTTCAATACTACTGGTCTATAAACTCAGTGTTATTGTGCTGAAGTTAACACTTCAAGTATTTTTGCCCAGTGTTATTTACTTGATTTAAGAAGTGTCTGCCAAGAACATGTTTTTATGATATGGGTAATGTTTCACTGTTTCGGAATAGCTGATTTTTAAAGCAGATTTTAATGAATGTTAACTGAGAAGTACTTTTTGAAAGAATAGTAGCGTAGTGGAAACCAATGTACTTCTCATGCTCACCTCTTAAATTGGAGTTACTGAAGTGACCATGAAAGACAGTAATTAATAGCAATTTTTTAAACAATTGCAGTAAGGGATGTGCTTGTTCAGGGAGTCTCCATTTGAAAGAGTTCACAAGCAGTGAATGTTAAAAGAACAATGCTTTCTGAATATTTTGTAGCAGAATGTGGAATAATACAATATTAAACATTTTAAATGAATTATTAAACGGTGTAAATGGCTTTAACTTTGTATAAATAAATCAGCATTTTTCCTAACCTTTTCCCATAGGGTGGAGAGCGTCCAAAAATAAGTCTCCAAGTTTCTCTCTATCTTCTGTCTCAAGTAAGTGTTTTAAGTATTTGTTGTGTATCAGAATAAGTTTTTCAGTACTGTTATGATTTATGAATTACTGTATTTTTGGCAAAGCCATTAAAGACAATTTGGCTTTGGCAGAAGAAGTTTTTAACCTTTCAGCTTCTATTAAAAAAAAAAAGCAAAATCTTTTGTGTTTTTATGGGCAGACAAAATAGGTTCTTATTTGAGTTACTATCATTCCTTTGAGGCTCCCATAGCACAGGGTAACCTCTAGAGCATTCCATGACTATGGATTGTCACCACCTGACAAATGATGCATAACAGTTGTGCAGCATGTTGGGACAGAACTTGGTACAATGGCAGGTGAAATTTAGATAGATGCTTTATTGCATTTTGAATTTGCCTAAGCTGTAGCAGATTTCAGGTCTGAATTTTCCTCTTTGAAAACTCAACCCCAAAAATCACCAGTACCAAAATCTCACTTTCTCACAATTTGAATTTCCTTATGCCTGTAGCTTAAATCTGTAACTAAGTACTTGTTATTTCTTATTCTTACCAGTCCCACCTCCTTTTCTTTCTGGAACTTATTTTCAAATTAAGAGTTTTACAGTGGATCTTTTTACTGTACAGAAAATTAATCTTTTCTCTCTGTAGGCTTCAGTGCATTGCTGTGAGACTGGTTTTCTTAAATTACACTCCCTGAAAATAATTCTGACTTGTATTTATAGAATTTATATTTCTTTTTCTTTGAACTTAAAAGTTTTTCAGTAGTCCTTTTATTATTGTCTGGCCCATAATTTCATCTTTTTTTTTCAGAGCTTTACTAAAAGTGTGATTTTTTTTGTTTGTTTGTTTGTTTTTATTTTATTTTATTTTTTTTCAGGATAATATAATTTGATGCTCCTTAATTTAAATCTAAAAAATTGTGGTGATATGGGAGTTATTTACGACAGACAAAACTGTGGGAGCAACAGCTTCTTGTAACTAAAGGGATCTGCACTGTAGGGTTGTATGAGTTGACCTTTTTTAACCTTTTTGATTTCAGTGGAAGCATTGACTGGGTATCACTTCAAGATTTGTGTCTATGTTCTTCATTCTTTTTAAAAAAGAAAATGGAACTAGTCATAAAGAATTGAGAACAAGTTCTGTGTATCAGAATGGGATGTGATATAGAAAATCAAGCTGCTGTTTCTGCAACTGGCAGAAATGCATCTTTTTCCACCTTTTTTAACCCAGAGTCTGTCTTTGATGGAGTGGGATCTGAAAAGCTGTGCACTGAGCATCTGACAAACCTTGCAAACTATTTCTGTTACTGACACCGGGGATACACTTTAAGCACCACTGATATATTAGAGACAAGTGCTTGAGAGACTCATGCTGGCAAATGAAAATCCACTGCTGGGACTTTTCCTCCCCTGTTCCCGAAGTGAACATGTGATGTACTTGCACCAAAACAGGCCTGTGTACAGTCGAGCAACACTTTGTGGACTGGCAGAAGCTCAAGTGATTTGGAGGTTCTTCAAAGCATTTTGGAAGTGTGATGAGACTTTCCAAAGTTTACATGGGTCAGCACCACATGCTAATAATCCTTTTGAAGGTCTGGAATGGTGCTGGCTTTAATGAGAAAACCTGTGGAGAACGTTGAGCTAAATATTGTCAAAACAATGATTAGATTTAATGACTTTGAAATTATTTGGGAATTTTGCAGCTGTTTAGGGATCCAGCTTTGATTCTCCTGTGAAGAGAAGGGATATAAGCTGGCAGAAGGTTATTGTGGCTGGACCTGAGCTGGTTCTGTCCAGAAGCCAGTTGTTTGCTGGCCCACGCTTTTGTAAGCCTTGGCTCAAAACAGAGGAGTTGGTGTAAACAGAGAGCTCTGTTAAAGCACCAAAGTTTCTGGAGAAGTTCTTTAATGTTCCCGGCAGTATGGCCCTTACTCCTGCCTTGTGGAACCACTTTGTCACTAGACCTTAATTTGTTGCAATTTCAGAGCCAGAAAAGCTACTTCTAATCCAGTTCAGCCAATTGCACGGCATTTACCCATGAATCACTGCACAGCAATTGTGGGCACAGCACAGAACTTCCTGGAATCCACCCAGTTGTTGACATGGAAGATCCATGGATGCTGTGCACCATAATCAGTTTGTGTTGTTTCTAAAAAAGAAAACAATTTCTGGAGCAGTTTTGAGTTCCTTGCTGGAGTATCACGCAGCTTTCATCTCAAAGCTGATAAGGAGAGAGAATTTACATGTCTCAAAAGGAGGGGAGAATATGAACAATTATTAAAACTAGGTGTCTTCAAAGGTAGAGAAAGTTCAAATAGCTGTAAAGAGGATTATGGTCTCCTGTGTTTTAAAGTAGATTTAATGAACAATCAGTGCTAGCAGTTATATTTACATATAAACCAAAGATAGCACTTAAGAAGGTCGAAGAAGTTTGTTCAGTGATTGAAATTGTGAAACTGTATGTATTCTGTAAATATGTCTGATATTTCTTTCCATTTTTCTTTTAATAGGTTTTTCTAATTATACATTATGCTCCTTTGGTGAACTCTTTGGCTGAGGTTATACTCAATGGTGACCTCTCGGTGTTTTCCTCTAAGGTTGAGCAAGATATACAGAAAAACTCAGTAAGTGGCCAATTGTCTTTCTTTGCCTTTAAAATATTACAATTAAAATCTTTGAAAAATGAAATCGGGTATTGGAAACTGGTAAGCCAAGGTGCGTGTGTTTAGAAGAGCAGCAATAGACTTCAGCTTTTGTTGTTGGATCATCATTTTGCTGGGACAGTTCTGTAATCCAGTCTTCTGTGCTTGGATGTAGAAGGAAATAAAGACTTTCCTCTGAACGTTCTAAGTGTTTTAGCAGTAAAGCTGATCACCTCTGAAAAAGTGCATCCGTGTGCATGTGAGAGCAGAGACCAGCCTCAGATAGGTGGGAGGGCTGTCACTTAGTCACTGCCCTTTTACTTTGCATTCAGTCCTGTGTAGATGTTGCTAGATGCTGTTGTTACTGGTTTTCTAAGTGTCATGTATATATTTTCCCTTTTGTTGTGAGTTTCACAGTTTGTGAAATGCTTATTTGTTACTTTTTAAAGGCCTGTTTTGGGGAGAGTAGTAAGAAGAGGGTATGACCTTTAAGAGGCCTCTGACTGTAGTTCTGTCTAAAAATTGAACGTGTCCCCTAATGACTGGCCAGCAGTTGCTGACCAAATGTTTAATTTATAACAAGCAGTAGATTGATTCTCATGCACGTTCTTTCCCAGCAGTGGCTGTAGCTGAAGGGGCAGATGCTTCAACTCTTCCATCACACAAGCCAACTTTTCCAAATTTCTTCCCTCTGTGCATTGGAAGCTGTGTGGGCAGATCTTATCCAGTAGCTTTTGGGTTCTGATATTTTGTTCTGTTAACCTTAATATTTAGAATGTATTTTAGAAAAAGCTATAGGAGAATGGTAGAGTTGACTGAATGCTAGAGTTGACTGAATGCTTTAAGATACAGCAATCCCTTACTTGTGTTGGGAAATGTCTGACCTTCTGCTGGCTGCACATTGAATGTTGTGTGTGACTTGTGCAGAAGCTGCTTTGTTACAAGGAAATTTGTGGCGAGAGGGTGGAGCACCACTTGTTACAGAAGTGAGATTTTTTTCTTTTCCTGTCATAGTTACTGTACAAAGTTACAAAATACCTATAGCATGCCGTGTGCTTGCACTAATGTCCGAAATATTGGGGCTTCCCTGTAAACTCCTGTTCATCTATTCTCTTATGTTTGTAATACTCTTTAGGTTGCTGCTTCTCACTGGACTTAAAGATGTGTCCTCACAGTATGTAAATGGGGAGTTCTGTCCCACCTGAACAGGTAGTAAATAGGAGAGCCTTGTCTTTCTGCAGTGGCCCCTTAGAGAAACTGCTGGAGGTGGAGCTTTGTTACAGAGAGTGCAGAGTGCTGGATGGGGAAAAAACTTCCATTTTAGTAAATTAAACTGTATTCTTCAATGAAACCATGGAGGGGAGAACCTGTACTGTGAGAAAGTCCACTGGTGGAGGTTGGTTATGTGCAGAAAGAGTGGGGTGATCTTCACCAGAGGAGATCCATGCCCTGCTTCCAGGGAGAGGAGCTGTCATGTGAACTGCTCTCTGTCAATGTGTATGAACAACTGCTGCATGTAGGGCTTGGTATTTTCTACTGATACACAGCTCAGTGCAGTGAGTCAGCTGTAGATATGGAGGCACAGTCAAGGTGAGGCAGTTTCTTGTTGCTTTGTGATGGGACAGAGCAGAAAGTTGATTTTTGAGCATTGTGAGCCATTTCAGGGGCTGTTCTTTGGACCATAAGGTGTATCAGTATCATTGCTAAGTTATTACTGTGGTGTTTTCTGTTGCAAAAAAATTGCAAATTTCTATTGAATATTGAAAGCTATTTCAGAAGTTACTTTAGAATTACTTGTTTTGAAGTAGTAGAGAAAAGTGATGAGTAAGTTTTTTAATTTGCTTTTTATCTGAGTGCAGAATTGTGTTTATTCGTAAATCAGACCCAAAGTTATCTTTTACTTCCTTTTTGCTCTAACTTCTCATGATAACCACTCTGATAATCTCCTAAGCTCGTTGTTTTGGGGATGTAACTGAGATGTCTTGATATGTTTAAGCTGAAGTGTAACTGACAGTTTCTAAAACCTGAAGTAAGTAGAAGCTCATATCTGTGTTCATCTTCCTGTTAAGGTGAATTAAAGTGGAAACACAGTAAGGACTGAGATTACGAGAAGCAGAGTCACATGTCCTCTTCCTAGGAGACTAAATGAGTAAAGAACACTTAACAAAAACAAAAGCTGAGAAGGGTTGCAATTGCTGTGTATAAATGCAAAATATCCTGAGTGATTTAGGACAAAGAGCAGTGGTGGTTGCCACGACATATCTTAGGAATTGATAATAACCTACCCATGGAGATCTGCTGAACATCACAGGGCAGTAACGACTGCTTGACCTCCATTGAACAGGTTCTCCACCTCAAAGTATAGCAAATTAAGATACACTATTATTTTTCCCTATTTTTTCCCTGTATTTCTGTTTTTAGGTGTCATCAGAAGAAATACAAACCCTTATCTCACAGTAAGAGTTGAATATGTGTAGCCAGCAGAATGTATTTAAACTTGTCAGACATCACACTAAGGTTTACCTGACTTCCTGTGAGATCTGTTTTCCTGCATAATTCAGATGTGGGCCAATTCTACCCAGTGCCTGTTTCTTCTTTAACCTACTTTCCCCTTCCCGTAAAAGGTGTTACTGGTACTGCCTCATCTTACAAGCACACATTGCACAAGACAAACCATCATTGAAAATACGCTTGAAAGATATTTTAGAAGTGTAAATTAGCAGTACCTCAAGCTGTATGATCAACTTGTGTAATAAACCATATACCAGTCAAATGAATTTTAAGTCAGATTTTAGAATGGTTTAAATACATAGCCTTGTTGTGTTTAGCAGAACAGAATATATGTATAGAGGGGTTTTTTTCAGCATTCTTTATGTGGAGCAGACCATGACTCAGTGCATATCACTGTCTGCTGGTCTCTTGTGTTACTTTGCTCATGTGGCCAACAGCATGTTAGAAATGCAAGTTGAGTACATACATTCTGCATAAAGAAAGTAGCTACAAGATTCTAGGAAGCAATGCAGAAGTAAGAAGTGAATGCAGAAAGGGGAAAATGCATTATGCAACTTGCATGCTACTTTGCTGTTATTTCCTGAAGAACAGAAGTTAAGGTGTTCTTCCCTTTTCTTACAACCTTTCCGACCAGAAGCCACCGATAAAAGGTAACCTGGTCATTTTATAACCTTCCTGTGTTGCAGTTGAATAAGACTAAAATTTATCAGAGAGGCTACTGGGGGCATGTGTACTAGATTTCATATTATGGGGTTTGTTTGGTCTTGTAGGAAGTTCCTCCTCCTATGTGGTTTGTTTCAGTGCCAAGTGTAAGGTGACTTATGCAAGATTTCTATAAAACCTTTGCAAAACATCACAAGACTCAAAGAACCATTTTGGCCATTTAACTTGTAGACAGTTTCTTCTCTGATCTTTCCCTAATCTCTTGGTTTTTACATATAGATGTTCCTTATTAAGTGAAGGGAGGGATTTTCCCAAACTTTTTCCCTGAGGTCTCTTCAGTGCTTATTGTACTTGAGTCACCTGAGGCAAAAAAGGGAATCAGTTTGGTATTTACTCTAGTCTTACTTCTTTTCTCTTGCCCTAAAATTTTAAACCCTTTAGCCAGTGTCAGCTAAATGTGATTGAAGTGTTAAGCTCTGAAAGGTAATGGAGTTTCTGTAGCAGTCTTGTTTAGCATAAACCTGTGCTGGCAAGATGCCCCCAATCCATGTGTTTCACTTCTCAGTGAGAGAGGTTTGGCTGATCAATGTTTATACTGTACTCTGGTAATCCAGCTGGCAGGCCCAGCAAGTGAGAAGAGAACTTAAGCAACACAGCTCAGAAAAAACTCCAAAACTGTAGAAAACCAAATTTTGTTAGTCCTTCTAGTTGCAGAACTTCTTGCAGTGTCTTGATCTCTTTCTACAAAGTATACATTGTTCTGTGTTAGGATGGCACAGACTCCTGGAAATTTGTAATTTAAATTTACTTTCTGGCTCCAAAACTTAATAATCAGGAAAATCAGGTATTGACTGAATACTGTTTGTCATCTTGTCAAAAGCCAGTGATAACTTTGGGTAAAACACAAGTAAAATTAAGTCTAACAAATGAAACTTGTTTTCTAGACTTGGGTAGGTTCTGGAGACCCAGAAAGGGTTATCGAAGGTATCATTTGTTCCTAGTTGATACAAGGATTAGTTTGGTATTGAGAGAAGTGTAAGACTCAAAACAAAAAAAACAAAAAGCCCCGGTCCCCATAAAAAAAAAAAAAAAAAAAAAAAGAAAGAAAAAAAAGCTTGTGGCATAGAGCATTGGGTTTTGTCCTTTCTACTGCCAAAGACCTTTAAAGGGTGTATTTCATATTAATACACTACTGTCAACACACACTTAGGATTTTGCTGCCTTCATCCTTGTTACAAAAGGTATCTTAATTTTATGTATACTGTCTATCTCACCTGTTCAAAGAAGGGGAAAACAATTTAATAAACTTCTGTTGATGAAATGGATAGTTCTGTATCTTCTTGTCTCAAGATGCCATACTTGTAATGATGAATCTTCAGAGTATGTTACTTTGGTCATGTGTGCTACTGATGATTTGATACAACTTGCTTTTTTGTATTTTAAAATGGATTTGAGATTTGTAAGTAGTATGCCAGTTTACATTCTAAACCCCATCAGCTGTATGAACTGAAGTTTCTTTATGAATAACAGTTAAAAATGCTTGCTGTAACTCAGTGTAAACTCTTCAAATTTACAGGCAAAGTCCAGTATCAGATGTTTCATCAAACCAACAGAAACACTTGAGAGGTCTCTTGAAATTAATAAACAGAAGGGGAAGAAGAGGATGCAAAAACGACCCAACTATAAAAATGTTGGTGAGGAGGATGAAGAGGAGAGAGGATCTGAAGATAACCAAGATGACCTTGATAAAACTAAAGGTACAGAAGCAAGTTCAAAAGGCATAAGAACAAGCAGTGAAAATGAAGGTGAGTATACCAGCAAGTAAAAATGATCTTTACAATATAGGTACTTCTATTTACTGTATAGACCTAGTGGTGATTTGTTATGTGACTTGTTCTCCTGTTGCATGAGGTAAACACAGGACTATTATGTTTGTTTAAGTCTCTGGCTGTATTTTCTTCTCATGTTAAATCATTCTGTGAGAACATGTACTTCTAATCTGATTAAAAACTATTAAAGTGTTTTCCTATCTTCCTGCAGTCCTGAGCCCTTATCCCACGTGCATGCCTTGCACCAAAGTGTGGGTGGGTATGGGGCACTTGATAAGTAGAATTGACAACTTTGTGTCTTCTCCTGTGGTGAGGCAGATGCTGGAGCCACTTCACCTATGCAAGATGGTTTGGGAGAATTTTATGCATGTTTCAATGGTAAAATTTAACAGGTGTGCTGTAAGTGACAGTATGTGATAGAAGATGATATTAAATAGTTCAAAACTGAAAACATCTTTAACTCTTAGATTTTTTAATTGTACATTTTTAGGGTTTTTGATGTAATACAAACCTCAGAAGAATTGGTTTTATAGGATGAGTGATCTTGCAGTGCATTGTAACTGTTTATTGTACTAATTAGTAACTATTAGAAGGACAAACATCAGAAACTGATATTTGTTAGACATAAATTGAAAAAAAAATTCTGTGGCAGAATGGCATGCAAGCAATTGAAAACAAGAGTGTTATGCTTTGACAGTCCTGTCCAAACATGGTTGAATTTAGGTTTAGGTAAGCAGTCTGTCTGAGAAGGCTTTCTTTAAATAGTGTCAGATAGCTGATGGTGTATTGTTTGCCATGATTTGAGGAAAATCTGAAATGATCTACTGTTTAACCTGGTGCATTTAGTCATCATCTTTGTCCAAATTCTTAAGCAAAAGCTGGATTTGGTCCTAATGGTTCTACTGAAAGTCAGGTTTGAAGCACTTAGGGCCCAGGTGTCCTGTTTGCTGTAATTGTAGAGGCCTCTTTACACCTTCCTCGAAACTTGATGTCCACCCATGCCCTGCTCTCACCAGCATCCTCACAGAGAAATCTTCTTAGCAGAAAGAGGTTCTGTGCTTTCTTCCTGTGGTTTGTGGGGAAGAGAGCTTACTGTTGCTTGTTTGTTTGCCAAAATGATATGTTTGTTTTCTTTACGTATTTTATGTATATGTTTACATTTCTTATCGCATCAAACTCCTTAAAGACATGTAAACAAAGTTCTTTACTGGGAAGAAAATTTGCCTACATCTATTCATTCATTAACCTTTCTGAGGTTGTGGTTATGCCTCTTATATACAGATGCATCAGTCACTTCTAATGGCAAACAGAAAATAGAAAAGAGCTTGTGATAACTTTAAAAATGTCCAATTTTGGTGGTGTGTTTTGTTCTTTTTAGAAATAGAGATGGTGATCATGGAGAGATGTAAGCTGTCAGAGCTGTCCATCTCTACTGTGACAGAACAGAATACAACAGATGAAGAAAAGAGTGCAGCTGCTTCTGGGAGTGAGATAACAAACTGGAACAGGTATAAAGGAACTATAATATATTTTGCTGAATTGTTTCCTTCCTTGTCCTCCCCTTATCTCTTTCAGTTCTCTTAAGGGATGTTTCAAATCTGCTTCCAGTTAAAATTACAGGGTTCTTCTGCATCACATATAAGGGAATAAACAGAAAAGTGGGATGTAGCCTCTCTGCTCATCAGTTGCACAAATGATCCTGTTCCTTTGCAAAGTTTGTGCTTTCCTTTATGGCAATTGCGATACATTACGTTAGTAAAGTTAAATTACAGAATATTAACACAACAAAAACAGAATATAAATGTTTGCGTTCCAGAATTTTCTAAACCTCTAAATTAAACTAGAAGAAGTTTTCCTAATTACATTTAAGGTCACATTTGTCAGTTTTGTATGCACCTGTAGGGAAAAAAAAACAAGGAAAACTCCTCAGTTCAGGGCTGAATTTGGCAAAATTTTAGTGGTGGTAGTTACAGATAAACCCTTCTAACCTACAGTTTCCAGGGTCCATTAGTATATCTTAAGGTTATTGAAGACTTCTATTGAAAATACAGTTTTTAAGTGTTTCTGGGAGCAGAAATCACCCTGACTTAAAAATTTAAACTTGGATGTATTAAATACATGTAAGACACCTTCTCAGTAAGAATTTTGTGTTCCTGTTAATAGGATGTTAGAGAAAAGAAACCAAACGTGCTGTATCTGACACAAAAGTAATTGCAGATGTGTCTGTTGGGGAAATGCACATGTTTAATAGCATTTTAAATTTATTTTTAAACTTGGGAAATGCTGCCTGGTATTCCCAGAATTTCATTCTGTCTCCATTATAGCTTTGATGTACCTTAGATTACATTCATTAATAAAGATAACATTTCATTTCATTGTAAAAGTGAAATTGAACCTTGACTTGAACTGGCTTTAAAATGCATTGTTCTAGATTATTGATAATTTGACTAAAATATGTGCCAAATGGCTTTTAGAAAGAAATTGGCCATGGCTGCATTGAATACTAAAATGACTGTGATGCTCAGGTCTCAAAAAGTGCAAAATCCTTAGATGAGATGCATTTGGCAAATGTCTGCAGTTCAGGACTCTCTTGTTCTGCAGATATGATCTCACAGCGTCCTGCATCTACATCAAAGAATGTACAGAGCTAAAAATATTTTTAAAATAAGGATAGACCTTGTGTAGTGCAATTGGTAGTGGCCTTAGTTATGTATGTGAATTTTTGGAAATACCTTTGGATAAGCTGCTGTAGCTTAAAATCTTGTGTTATCTTCTATGCCAAATGTAGTATTAGAAACAGTAGCTAAATTTCTCAAGAGATTTGCTCAAGTGTGTACAGTTTCTGCCCTACACTGATGGAAATCACCGAGTCTTGTGGACAAGGTGCCATGTGGTAGTGGAAAATGCAGTGAACATCATGCCATGCCCAAAGTGAGTCTTCCCTAACTGGAATAATCATTCATGACTGTGATGATTGTGATTCCCAATGTGTTGCACTCTTCAGTTGTGGACACTCTCCACAAGAATAAATAATTTGAAGAACACTTGTATGGCATTTGATTTGCTTCTTCTGTCAAGTTGGTAGTAAAAGCCTAGTAAAGGAAGAAAATGCTACAGAGTTAAGAACTACTTATATTTGAAAATATTTACAATACAGACTTCACTATTAAAAGTGTTTTTTAAAAATAGTCCAATAGTTGTTGAAAAATGAATGGAAAACAGCACGGAAGGGAGTTTAAAAGCTTTAAAAGCTAAGTCAAGTTTTCAGTTTCCCTTAGCCCTTTTACTGCTGTGAAGAGCATGAAAGAGGCAGCTGAAATATTTTAGGGTGTAATTTTATTTTGATGGGCCTCACTGCTGGAAAGTTTGAGCTTAAAGACATGTTTTAAATTACCTTTCTTTTGCAATATGCTGTACAGCAAAGCCTTTTTCCAGAATGTGAAATCTTTGTGCTATGTTGTGGCTTCGGTTGCTATTTTCTTACAGCTGAGTTTTTCTGGGTCTATCATGTATTTAGTCTATTTGAGGACTGTTGGTGAGTGGGATTCTTGGAAGTTGTTTTGGCCTCAGGTTACTGTGACTGAGACTCTGGTAATGCAGATAGAGAGATGCTGTGAAGAAGCATCTGGAATGAGAACGATTTCTCTTGCTGCTGTAATTTTTTTCAAGTTATGTAATTTCACAAATCTAATTAGTATGCAGGGGTTAAAACAATGAAAAATGCATTAGAAATTACAGAAATCAATTAATACCATGTAATATTGGTGTTATATGAACAGCTACTGATGTTTCAGCAGCTTTGACTTGCTAAAACATTGGCTTTAACAAAATTATATTAAATATTACTTTTATATCATAGGTCACGTTTTAGGTTAGTTAGTGTCTGTTGGTCTGAAAGCAGACCTCATGTTATCTTGTATTTAAGTATGTTAATATCCTGAACTCCCCCTGTGGTGTGAAAAGCCCCCAGTTTGAGGGTGACATGAGGCTTTAGGATTTGTTTAACACTCAGAAAGCCTGAAGGCCCTCTTGGTTTGTTTTCAACATTGCTAATTATTTAGGTTGGTTTTCCTTGAATAGTTACATTCTTTTAAGATCTACAATATGTGGGAAATTCGGCTTAGGCACAGAGGGGTGTTGACCTTGGGCAAAGAGGGATCATAACTCGGCGGCGTTTCCCGCAGAGGCTGATTGTGATGCAGCTTCAGAAATGCACGACGTGCCGCAGTGTCAGGAACTGAGCAGAGGAACAACGTGGTCTGTGAATCTGATCACTGCCTTGTTTCAGTAAAAGAGAACATGGTGGTGAAATGTGTGTGGAGCTGACGGGAAGGTCAAGTCCCTTGTTATGACTTGGTGGCTTTACTGGGGCACATTAAGTGTGGCCATGATGGCGCCACAGGCCTGGAGGAGGTACTGAAGTATGTTGTGTTCTGGGCTCTGATAGCCCTGCTGACCCTCAGCTGACCACAACCATGAGTTTGTAGTGGATGCTTCTTGTCTGCTAGCTCTGAAAACAGGAAAATGTTTTTATGACTTCGATGTTACCTTAATGTATTTTATTGAATGTAATTTAGGTAATGTAAGGTGTTTTTTCCTTTCCCTGTTAATTCCCTACCTTTTGAAGTATTTTTTAACTCATTTCACTCAGGGTTCTAGACTGTCATCTTCTGGTGACTGTGGCACTTCCCTGATATATTGTTTGTTTGTCTGGACCAGTTGTGAAAATATATTCAATTTTCACTTATGCTCTGAACTGGTGCAACCGATTGGATGCAAGCCAGCCTAAGACAAGAAGCCAAGCTGCCTTACAGTCAGGCTTGTGCTCATATCAGCTAAATCTCAGCCATATCTGATCTGTCCAAACGGCTTCTGGATTACGTTGACTTTTGTGGTCTCTTCAGGGTACAGGTAAAAGGTGAACTTGGCACTTTATAACTTCCTGCAGAAGTGTCATAGGCCACATGTCCTTAAACTCAGGAAAACAAAGTTTATCTGCAATCCAAAGCTTTCTTTTTTTCATTCAAGTGTTCCCTGCTTATTAATTTTTCTTTCCTGTAACTATTGCATGGTAAAGTTGTTGATTGTTTTAGAACAAAATGGCTTCCTCCAAACTTCTGATGAAAAATGCTTACTTGTATTAGATCTTTTCAACTCTGTTTAGTATATGAGTTTGGAGGTATTCTCTTTCTTTTATGCAACAGTGAGAGCAGCTCCTTGAAGTTGCTTACGTATACACTTAAAACAAGCTTTCAATAAGTACTAAATGTGCCACAAACAACCAGTAAATGTTTGAACAATCAATTCCTGGGAAAGTATTATGTAACAAATTCTGTTAAAGCATCAGAGTTATTGGCAGAGTGTAAATGCAAGGCATGGCTATAATCTGAGTACTCTCTAACAGAAATTTCTTTTATGCCTGAAAATGTGCATTACTGTAAATTTGCCTCATCCATTAGCTACATGTAGAATAAGATAGTTACCCATTTTTCTATAGATATGTTACTTTCTTAACCATTTTTCTTTTTTAAATTACTCCTTTCCACAGACCTTTTCTTGATATGGTCTATAATGCACTGGACTGTCCTGAAGATGATTACTATGCCCTCTTTGTGCTCTGTCTTTTATATGCAATGTCACACAACAAAGGTAAGTGCTGTTATGTAGAGTTAACTGCAAGGCCAGGGTTGGAAGAAACTGTAAACCTAAATATAATCATCTTCTGGTTTATGAGATTGTTTATTACCATTCTTTAGAACAGGACAGGGAGATTCCCAGCAATCCATAATTATGTATTGTCCTAAGAGGTCTTACAGTAACCAGTCTATTCTGAGAAATACCTCAATATTTTAGAGGAATATGTTGAAGAAAAATGGGATTAATCTCCTTATACAACCATTCAGGGGGAATTTAATTTGCATGGAGGAGGGTACTCAATCAGAGGCTTCTAGTTACAAAATAAAATTCCTATTTTTTTTAAACATGTATGAACGGATCACTTACTACCAGAGCAGAATTTAAAATCAGACTTTCATCTTTTCCCCTTTAGTCACTATGCTCTTCAGATATATGGCTTGACTTTCATTTGATTTAGATGCAAACAAATAGTTTTAGAATTTCAGAAACAGCAAAATAGTTTGGATTTCACCAACCACTTTGGGATTTGAGTGCTCTGTTTAAGGCTGCGAATTTTCAGGGATTCATCAATGTCTTCAGTCTTTCCGTTGTTCCTCCTTGTAATATTAATTCAAAGCTAACTTGCCTAGTCTCATATTGCTAATTATTATGTTCTGAGAAAACTGCTGTGGTCTATTAAATACTTGCCTCAGGACATACTCCTGTTTTCTAATTTGCCTTTCTTCCTTCACCCCGAAAAAGGAATTGACCCAGTCAAGCTGGAGAGAATTCAGCTTCCAGCTCAACATGCTGAAGAGAGAAACTCATATAATCATGTCCTTGCAGAAAGGCTCATCAGGATAATGAATTATGCTGCACAACCAGGTATTGCTTTTCCAGTATTTGTTTTCTTTCCAAGCTGAAACTTTTGAAGCTGGAAAAAAACCATCTGGTTACAATGCTCAGTGACCCATTCCGTGGAAATATATATGACTTTTGTTCAAACCACAGCTCTTCTCCCTGCACTTCCCCCTTTAAAACTTCAAATGAGTGGAACTGGTTTTCCCCTGAAACGGACACATTATAAAATTCCTGATTGTTTGCAGAGTAAAATCTAATGTTTATTTGACTTGCAAGACTGATCTGAGAGCATTAACTAGTGCTGATGTGCCAGTCAGAGATTAAAAACATGTTTATATATGAAGAGTTTATACATGCAGTAACAGGGAAGAGTGCAAGATGAGGAAATGGATTGATTTAAGTAAAGGCTTGTCTGGGGAGGGACGTGCTGGGGAGGAGTGGAAATACTGGATTTTTATTACACTTGCTAAATGCTGTGTAGAACATGTTTTCTCTTTTTTGGAGGGGGTACTGACCTTTGTATCTTTAGTTTCTGACAGCACAGTGCTAACTTTTGAAGTGGTAGAAGGGGAGTTGGAGTCAAAAGCTGAGATGTCAGTCTGTCTCTTGGATATATTGTCTTAGCATAGATCACTGAGCTCAGACTGTACATAATTTCTAATATTGTTTTTTAAAATCCTTCTGACACTAAGCTTAAAATCTCGATGCATTCTTTCAGTCTGACTTCTCTAGATTCTCAGATCCAGGCTGTATCTGAATCCTTTGGACTTCTTTTAAGGAACAGCTATACCTTATTAGTATGCTATATACAAAGCTGCCTTTCACCTTGTGACTTTATCCATGCCAAATGTCTCTGATCCTTTTGTAATTTTAGTGTAATTCAGCTTGTGGTTGCAGATTAATGAAGGCGTGGGTTTGGCTTATTTTTCAACAGTGTTAATCTTTGTTGCCTTCTTATTGCACGGTTCTGCTTTAAATTTTCTTCTGTTTTAAATTACTCTTCCAATTCTTTTTCTTTTTTACCCATCAGCATTGTAAGGCAGCATGTGCACTGATGCTTGTCAGATAGGGTGTGTGTGACAGAGGAGCCAAGTTTGACAACTGGGGGAAAAGTAAAAATATTAAAGAACATCAGATAATGAGAAGAACAATAATTAAACTGCTGCTGTTTTGTGTATTGAAATTTTCTTTTCATAGATGGAAAAATCCGTTTGGCAACTTTAGAACTTGGGTGCCTGCTGCTGAAGCAGCTTGTGTTTTCTAAAAATGGCAGCATCATAAAAGATGTTCACCTTGCGTGTCTTGAGGTGAGTATTTTCTTTCAAATTTCCAGTCACAGCATTACTAGTCTTTGAGTCTTGTAATATAGTTGAATAAATTTATTTTATTTCTGATTGCAATAAGCCTAAATGTGAAATTTGAGCTTCTAGAACATCTTTGCATTGGTGGCTCTGTGCAGAAGAATCAAAACCTCTGTTCTGTCCCCAGCTTTGCTGTTATCATGCTGTTTAAACTCATAACTTCCCAAGCAGTGTTAGGTTTAATTTTCTCTCTGAAATTTGTATATCATCCACCTCAGTAATGTAAAGAAAAGTTCTTTTGAAACTAATAAGCTCACATAAACTGTATTTTCAGAAGCTCAAAATGTATTCTGTCAAATTCTGGGATGAAGACTGAGTGTGGGGAAATCAATAGACAGTCTCTTCTATATGAGTTTTTGGGTAGGTTTTTTAATGTGATTAATAAGTAAATTGTGTACGTACTCCCTGAAAAACATTTTATCTTTTCTAGGGTGCCAGGGAAGAAAGTGTTCATCTCCTTCGTCGTTTCTATAAGGTATATATGCAAAATGCTGTAAGAAAAAGTCCTTTACATCATGTGGAATTAGAAGCAAGTCTGCAGCCCAGTCTTTACTGGTGCCCAAGGCAGCACTTTTTTTAATATGAGAACTCCAAATTTGTGACAGAAAATGAAGTGTTTTGTTGGGGGATTCCTCTCCTTTCCTGCCCTTCCCATGCCACACTGACATATGTCACAAAAGGGCTGTTAGAAGACTCAGGGTTTATATTGGAGGGCAAGTTAGCAGTCATGCCCCTTTGTTGCTTCTGTTAGGTGTTTCGTGGAACTGAGCCACACAATTAGAGCATGATTCCTGGGATTTTATCATTGGCACTAATATGGAATGTGTTTGTTTTTGACATTACTTTTTGTTTGTGTCTTATCTGAAATACTGATACTTAATCTTTCTTTCTTATTGGAGACCTTTGCAGCTTTTTGCCTTTTTTTTTTGTGTGTGTGTGTGTGTGTGTGTGGTAAACAGTGAAAGAATTAAAACGATAAGATCTAGGTGTTAACTTCCAAATAAGGAGCAGTAAATCCATTAGAGATTTCAAGTGTCTGAAATATCTTCCTGTTTTTGTCAGAATACTTTTGAAGGCTGTTTGCTCAATATGGCTTCCAAAAAATAAGTCACCTTATGGTTGGCTGCTAGAGGTCCACTCAGCTGCTCTTTCACTGCCCTTCCTCAACAGGATGGAGAGAGAAGAGAGTATCTTGCTGTAAAGATAAAGAACTGAGAGGTCACTTGCTAATTACAGTCATGGGTGAAACAGAGCCAACTTGGCAAAAATGAATTTATTGCCAATAAAAATAAATTTAGATAGCGAGAAACAAAGACAAATTTAAAAATAAAACCAGACACCTTTCCCCCCACCCCTCCTTTTTCCCAGGCTCAGCTCTGCTCCTTCATTCCTGACCCTTCTGCCCTCTCCCCCTGCTGAGTGGTGTAGGGGCGATGGGGAAATAGGGGTTTGATGTCAGGCCATGACAGTTCATCTCTTGCTGCCTCTTCTTCCTCACGCTTTCCCCTGCCCCAGTGTGGATCTCCTCTTCCATGGGCTGTAGTCCTTCAGGAAAATAATCTGTGGGTCCTCCACCATGGTCCTCTCCAGGGGCTGCAGAGGAATCCCTCTCCCTCTTCGTGTGTTTTCCCATCAGTGTTGCTGTGGTGCTCAGCAGTGTCCTGCAGAGGCCTCCCCTCACAGACACCCTGTATATAACCAAACCAAACAAACCCAGCTCTGCAGCCCTCAGGTTTCATGGTGTGTCCATATTCTTGCTTTTGGAAGGGAGAAGAAATTTTTCTGGATATGTTTGAAGACGAATACCGGAGTATGACAGTAAGTGACACCCTTTCTGCCACATCCTCAAACCCAGATACAGCACAGGAGCAGGAACAGTTACTGATAGTTACTGAGAACACTGGGGTCTTTATTGCGGACAGGAGAATAACAAAATGTGGTTTTATCTCTGAGGAGTTGTGTCTCTGGTTACATAAATTGTTATGTGAAATTTCACAACTCCTTGTTTGGTAAAGCCCATTACTTTCTGAGATGGAGTGTACAAAAATTATCCTGATAAAATGGACATTGGATTTATTTTTTCCCTAGTTACTGAACAATATGAAAATCTTCCTGTATCTCTCCAAAGCCCAGCAAGGTCTCAGTTTTGATGGTGTCACTTTATTTACCAGTGGAAAACAGGGTTGGAGCAAGCAAACGTTGAGCCCTTTGCTCTAGGAGAGGTACTGCCTGTGAAGGTGTTAATGGATTACTAAGATTGATCTCAGTTCATATTTAACCTGTAAATGTGTTTTAAAAGTAATTATCTGTTTCAGTTCTTAGGTTAGAGTTCAGATAAAAATGCTTTGGGTACTCAGTTACAGGGTTTTTTCCCCAGTGGTGAGGGATTTAATGAGCAACTGCTCGTTGTCTCTTTGAAAAAGCACAATCTACAGCTGGTGTGTTGTAATAAGTCTTTTAATATGGGAAACATCTTACACATATCTTACCAGCCTAAATAATAGAAGTTTTTAGTGAAATATTTAACTTTGAAAGTTGCTGCATTACTGGAAACTAGAAAGTTGTTTCTGGGGAGAAAAAGTTATAGGAAACTCTTTATTGTGATGGAAGTAGTCACAAATTTAAGTCAAAACTTAAAAGCAAACCTGACAAATTTGGTTTTCAGTATTAGGGAAGTACTTCTTCATTAATCTTCTGGAGCTTTCCTCCTGTTCTACCAGTATGGAAACTTCAACAGTGTGTGAGGGAATGATGAACAAATATAAAACAGAGATTGCTTGTAAGGAGCTTCACATAAGACAGTTGGTATTAAAATTTCTCAGAACTCTAGAATATGGAACAATGAGTTATATTTGAAAGCAAAGAGGCAAATGCTTATTGTCCTGTATGGTAATCAATGTTAAAATACTTTTATAGATTAAACCCATGAATGTAGAATACTTGATGATGGATGCCTCAATCTTACTGCCTCCAACGGGGACACCACTGACTGGTATTGATTTTGTGAAAAGATTGCCTTGTGGAGATGTGGAAAGAACACGAAGAGTGAGTAAGACTATTTTTCTTACATTTGTTCATGGCAAAATGATGCCAAAGTCCTTGCACAATTCTAGAAATAAAAATAATATTTTTCCCTGAAAACTGCTTGGTTGGAAGCCTCGTCCATAAAATGAGAAAGACTTGTGCAGAGTATAAAATAATTACCTGTCCCAGTGGAGAAAAACCTTTTCTCTATGATTTCCTGTGCCTAGTCAACACAACATGTTCTTGCAGTGGGGTTTTAATTTTCAGATCATACAGACATCTACATACAATGGCAGTTAGATGATGCTCATTAATATATTGTCAGATATCTCCGTCTATCTTACAATTGTATTCCTGTAGTGGGAATCTCCAGTGGAAGACTGGCTGGCTTCATATTGCTCATGTTTCTACACATAACAAAAAGTTTAACTGTACTCCAGAGTTCAAAGTAATTAATGACAGAGATCTTGAGAATGAGGAGAAAAATACAAAATATCTATTTTCAGGACTGACACAATCTGTAGAGGTAATACTTACCTGAATCATTATCACCATTCTTAGGTTAATCAGTTCTTGGCCCATATCTGGCAGTGTCCTGTAAGCCTTGCAGAGGCACTAAGTCTAAGAGAGATATTATTGCATGACATTATTATTTGAGAAGTGCTGTTCTTTGGGTTGCTTTGCATTTACATAAGTATATATGTACATGTATTCAAGTACCCTTGAAGAAAAAACATTTTTCCAGGAATCTTCTGAAAAGGTTTGTTTTCATTACTTATTGTGAGCCACACAGCTTTTGTTATCACCACAAGCTGTCTGATAAAATACAGTGAATTATTTTGAAAAGTATTCTTAGAAAGCAAAAATGCTTCCTGGAATTCTCTCTGAGGCATTTAACAGAAAGATACTTAGAAATGCACATTAATGGAAACTGCCTGTTCCATGGTTTTCATGAGCTAAATAAGGAATAGCTTAACTTCTGTTAGTGGAAATCAAAAAATCAATGCAAATATTCCTGTAGAGTGTTTGGGATGAAAGGGGCTTTATCATCCACAAGAAGTCTCACAATGCTTCCTTGTTGATTGTCCTTCCCCAGTCACATTGCTCTACAAGTTTTAGCATTTTCTCAATTCCTGGGCTGCTTTCTTCCAGCTGGGCTCCCTTGCTTTGCTGAATTGCCATAACAATGTGCTGAACTCGAGGTCTGTCTTGTGACATTGCTGCTGCCACTTCTGGGGTTTTGCTGACAGTTTCAAATGAACAGTCAATTCTGAGCATCCTGTGTCATGATTCCAAAAAAGTTCTTGAGTTTTGTTTCACTGGCAAGTGAAGAAGTCCCTTAGTTCGATTATATTGTGAGTTCTTAGCTCTTAGAGATCAGATCTTTTTAGGTTCTGACCTGTTTCGCTATAGAAAGTCTCTACGTGGCAATAAACTGTTGTAGGAAGGCCCAGCTCACATGATTTTGGATTTATATTGATGTTGCTAACAAACTGAAGGCTGTCAATATTGTAGGAAGCACAGTGTAACTCCCTTTTCATCTGATGTTCTTGCTTTTTAATTTTTTTCTTGCAAAGGCTAAAGTTCTAATTTTGTTCCCTACTGCTGTACATTAATCTGCAGTAAATGTGGTTACATGTTTGGAGATGAGAGATGGTTGTTTTATAGGGAATGTATGCAACAAAAATTAATGCTGTCTAGGAGGAAGAGGATTGAAGTGAAAAGTAAGTGAAAGCAGGCTGAGTGATGCCTGCCCTCTAAATTAAAAAACAAACAAAAAAGCAAAAACAATAAAACAAACAAACAAAAAAACCCAAATGCCTTGTTGGGTTTGACTTTTGAGTTACCAAAAATAGTCCTGTTCTTGATTGAATTTGAAAAGTCTTAAACCCAGTATTGTGAATTTTTCTTGAAGCATCTGATAGTAAAAGTGCTTTATAGTAATAGTGTATAATTTCAATAAATCCACAGTCCATTAGAATGCAATCTGCCTAAAGAGGAGAGATCTCCCATTACAAAATGACTCTGTTCTTATGAATAAGCCAGTGTTAATATCATATTTTCTTAGATACCCTTGACATCCTTTGATTCGCAGAATCATATTGCCCTGTTAGATTTCAACAGCGTGCCAAATTCATCTGCTTTGTCATTTCATGGAAGAGCTGGGTACATGACTTCCCTCTCTTCATCCCTGCTGTGCCAGAAGTTTCTGGAAGCACTGCCAGGATGATGGCTGGCCAAGCACTCACACTGCTGGTTCACAGGAGCCACAGTTCTGTTGATTTTAAAAATAGAGGGGTGAAGGGTTTTCCCTTAAAGCACTTTAGATTTGTTTTTCCTGATACTTCCTGCAATCTGGGAGTTTCTGGGCATTGCAGCTGTTCATGAATTCAATGCTTTTACTGTAAGGCAGCAGTTAATTTACAGTATGCCACAGAATTACTGTGTAGGAAACTCTTAAAAAACAAAACACCGGAAGTAATAAAAAATGATTTTTTCATTTACTATACTGAAAATACAGTTCTTGTAGGGGAAGAGGATTATAAATGGTGCCTTTCAAAATGTGGCTAATAAAATGATGATTGTTCTTTGACACTTTTGGTCTTTGCATACCATATGTCATGAATTTATAAATCAAAACTAGCTTATTAATTTCACAGAGCAGCTGTTGAAAGTTTCTTGGGCCTGGTGCAGCTTTCAGAATGCTTCGCCCTGGTACGGACCTTCTGAGAAAATGAATCAAGTGCTCCAAGAATGTTGTGTTACATGTGGCTAGTTCTGATGAACACAGCGAATTAAAATGCAGAAATCCCCACTGTTTTCTCTCTAACTTGCAGACATCTTAGCAAGGCTTGACCAGAAAAGTTATCACTGTTTTAAGTTCAAAATGTGACAGTCTCTGAAGGCTGGTTGTGGAGGTGTGTGTAGCATATAGGTATTGCAAATACAATCAGTCTTAAAATAATTATTAAAGAAAAAATTACCTGTCAGTCACAGTCTGTGTAAGTGTGCCAGTGCCAAAAAAGCTCTGCTGCTTCTAATTCATTGAAAATTGCACGTTTCAACTTTTTTCACATATTTTTCTAGCTAAGTTTGAAATTATATTCTACTTTGTCAATTTAAAATGTAGATTTACTGTGTGAGAACAAACTCGGGGGTTGTAAAAGCCAGGATACGTTTGCAAGATTCTGTTAAAATATGTAGTTCTGGGTGTAGCAATGTTTTAATATTCTTTTCTTTAATTTCTCAAGGCAATCAGAGTTTTCTTTATGCTCCGTTCGCTGTCACTGCACTTGCGAGATGAGCCAGAAACTCAGTTACCACTCACGAGGGAGGGAGATCTGATAAAGACAGATGATGTTCTTGATTTGAGTAAGTAGTCCCTCAATTTCCCAAATAGTCTGAAGAGAAGTTACTGGCTTATTTTTTTTTTCCCTCTAAACTGGTTATTACTGCTATTGTTACCTAAACTACCTGAATTGAGATAGTACAGAGGTGAAGTTCTAGTGTGTGTTGTAATATAAAAACATATTTTCCAGTTCAAGTCTTTTATGTTGCCCAAGAGAGAGAAACAGGAGAATATCAGCATTTTGGCATAAAGCATACAGGATACACATCATTGCATAGATGCCTTGTCTTGGCAGGAGACTTAGCAGTGGGCAAAATGAGACCTAAAAAATTCTAGTTGTGTGCCTTTTTTAGTTATCACTTTGGAGATATTGTTGATGTAACAAATTTTCCCCAATCTATATTACCACAAGTCTTTAAAAATTCTTCTGAACATTAAGATGCCTCCTGTGGTTATGGTTGTTTATATACAAATAGTGTCAAGTAGAGGTTAACATGATCCACTAATGGTTTCAGCTACTGTTTGGATTTTGAAAAATCCTGCAAAACTGACTTTATCAAAATGACTTTTTTTCCTTTTGTCTGAATGCAATGCTGGTGTTTTATGGGAGCTGGATGAGAAAGATTAAAGTACCTTGTAAAGAAACATTTTAATATTTTGATGGGCATATGTTCATTGTAAACCTTTAGGTGTAGTTGCAAGGTTGTCTGCACCATATATGAATGTATGTGTTGAGAGGCAGGGAATTCCACAGAAGGTTCATTCCATATTGCTGAGTGTGCTGCCACCAGAATGATATCTGTTACTTTTCAGTGTTGTTTTTCTACTGTAAATAGTTTTGATTCACTCACGTGTTGTGTGATAACTGCCTGCCTCAGACTGCATGTGAGGCTGTAGGTGTCTCATGCAGGTGTCTTTTTAATCTTAGTCAGCAGCTCACTGTGTGAAGTTCACTGGCAGCTCAAATTAACAGCCTCAGTGCTTGGTTTCAGGCTGGTAACAGCATTCTGTTTGTGGCAATGTTTTAAATACCATGGCCAAGAGGTAAATGATGGTACATTTAAAGCTGTTATTTCTTTGCTGAAACTGAAAATGAGTCACATTATACTTAAATCTCCTTGTATATTCTGTCTCTACCAAATATCCAGGCTTTAGAAAAGCAGCCAATATTTCTAAAAAAAATGTTTGAGAAAAGTTTATGATGGAATAATTGAGGTTGGAAGGAACAATCAGGAGATCACCTAGTCTAACTCTCCTGCTCAAAACAGAGTCAGGTAGAGAAAGTTGCCCAGTGCAACTTGTTGTCATATTTGAAGAAAAGAGAGGAAGCCAGAATGTGGTGCAGGTGTATGACCAGGGACACATCCTCTAATCTCAACTAAATGTCCTTTGTTGAACATTTGGGTGGGTCCTTGATTTGTTGCATTCTTAGTAAGCAGTAAAGCAGAATGTCATACTAATGGGCTCTGTGCTGTTGGGAAAGGTTCTTCTTGTCAAGTGGGAGGTGGTGCATTAACTTTCTGCAGCCTAATGCTTGTCTTGGGCCACCAGCTGTGTGTCCAAAGGGCTAAAAGTTTTCTGTAAGAGCTTTTAGTGCCTGCAGATGATTTCTGGAATTGTAATGACAGTAAATTATAAAATCATTAAAGATCAAGCCCTGAGGCAGATCAGGTACATTTAGACCATCTCCTCAAGTAGCTGTTATATTAGTAAAGAATTCATGTAATGCAGTCTTTTCAGGCAGGTATTGCATGAACACGGTCAGCTGTTTTCACCTAATGTACATCTGTGCTGCAAGCAGCTGAGGTCTTTGAACTCTCCTTCCTTGGTTGTTTCCTATGACTTGTATTTTTCTTTGAGAAAGTCCACAGAACTCTTGGATCCATGTCTTGAAGGTGTAGTGTCCAAACTGGCTACAGGCTTCATTTTGCATGAGGAAAAATTAGGCACTGCAGTTACTCTCAGGAAGGACAGCACATTTCTTTGCAGCACTGTCATATGGGTATTGAATGGCCTTTCAGCCTGGGATTCACTTTAATCCCCAGATCAAATTTTCAGTTTCAAACTGAATTTTACTGGGCTTGGTATTTTCCTCTAAATGTGTTAGCTATGTGTTGTGTAACTGTTTCATAGTATAGCTGTGAGTATTCTCAGATCAGTTCACTGGAAATGTGTTTAACTACACTTTCCCTTCTGTTTTTGTCGTCAAGGATGATGTAGCTTTTGACCTTTCAGCAGCTGTGAGCTGAAATGGCCTTCACTCAGTTGTATAAACTCAAAGGATTCCTGAAACCCTTGTCTAATAAATGAGTAATTTTTCCTTCTGTTCTTTGATAAATTTTTACAGTTTTACTTCAAATTTTTGTCAGATCTGAAATGAAAACTTTCGGCTCTGGAAAGCAACTTCTGCCCCTTAAGTTCTTTACCTGAAGTACATTTTGTAGTCGGGCAGTTGAATTTGTACAGCAATAATTCCAGGTATTTTTTCATCTGCTTGCTGTTGCACTGAAAACTTTATAAATATTGACATGGATTTTCTTGTTTTATTCTGTTTCTGTGGCTTGTCTTTTATTGTTCAGATTATTAGAATGCCAGTGGCACAATAATATTCAGTAGGATTCAGTTGCCTACTTTGCCATTTTAGATGTCCTCTAAGATTCTCTGCCTGGTGTCTCAGCTCCTTCTCTAAACAGGAATAAATCTTCCACAGGCTCCTCTAGTAATATTTGCCAATCCTGTATGGATTTCTTGAGCCTTCTAGGGCTGTGAGAAGGTAATAGCAATCAATCCTCATGTAACTGTATCACGTCCTGTATGTATTGCATTTATTGATTAAACTTGTTTTCTCAAATTTCAAAAGCTCACAGTAAATTCACACTGGATTAGCATTAATTGTCCTCTTTTAATTGTGTTAGGGTTCCATTTTTCATCTCCTATCACCCAATCAATTTTGAATGGATCCTGCTGGTAAAGGGTAATTTGTAGATTCAGAGAAATGTTAGTTGGAAGGGACCTCACGCTTGTGGTGTGGGGGGATTTTTGGGAGGAACAGGAGGTTGGTTTGGGGAGGATTGTTGGTTTTGTTTTTTTGAAACTTGAAAACCTTTGGTGACAGAAATTCCACAGCCTCTCTGGGTAACATGCTGTGCTGTATTATGCACAAAGGAATTTCTTCCACCTCCCAGCCTTTAATTTATGGCTGTTGCCTGTAGTTGTATAACCTGCCACTGTGAAAAGCTGTGTGCTTCCACTTGTAGCTTTTGTATCTATCCTGCAAATGTTTCTAGGATGAAATATGGTGTTAAATACTTGGTTAGATGTTTGGATGAGTAAATTTAAGTTCTACTGTTTTGTTTAATGTTCAGAATATTTTACTTGCTATAAATTGTACTAAATAAGAGAGTGGAAAAAGACCTGTGTATATCAAGTATATGAATGAAAGTAAGAGTTTGAAGCAAAGGAAAAAGCAACTCTAGTTAAGATTAGCAAAGGTCTGCTAGAAATTGTGGCAGTTTAAGGGTTGCTTGGTAGATTCCAGGTGGTGTAAAGAAGGTGATTGAATCCCTTTTCAGGAACAATGGATTTGAACTGGAACAAGGGCAGGGAGGAGATACAGGAGGATTTGTTTGGGGGCTTGTTGGAGGGGTCCTGGAGTAATGGTAAAGAAAGGGTATGTTTGTTCAATATAAGTGAATAAAATGCATGGGTAAAGGAAAAAATATCACCTCGTTTAACAAATATTGGCAAAAGCCTGCCACAGTTTGCCTGGAGAATCCATGTAATCTTGAAGGGCTTCCAACAGTCAGAATATCAGGTTTCAGACCTGTGCAAATGTCACTTGTGTCAGGAGCCAGAGTTTCTAACAAGGTAGAAATAATTGCCTGCAGTGGGGCAGGACTGTCTTTGGTCTTCCAACAAAACTTTTTGAGACTTCCACTTAGTGAGGCACATCAGCACTGTTGCAATTTCATTCCTGAGATGAGGGGACCTGTAGATAATGAAGGTGGTAAGAGAAAGCAAGATGTATATAATACCTATCTTATATATGTTAATACCCATCTTCAGATGTCTGAACCACTGTTGTTAAAATCTAACTTGCCCTATCTATGTAGCTATAAATATTATGGCAAAACTTAAAATATTTATTAAAAGAGCAAACAAAAGCTTTAACCATGTGTCGTCAAGATGCTTTTATATATTAACATTTTATGTTATGTAAAACATTCAAACCCCAGAATCCTCAACTTCAGTGATTAAATAACCTTTTTCCTTCCTTTCTTCCTTCAGATAACAGTGATCTAATTGCTTGTACAGTGATAACAAAGGATGGGGGTCAAGTTCAAAGATTCCTGGCTGTGGATATTTACCAGATGAGTTTGGTTGAACCAGATATTGCCAGACTTGGATGGGGAGTAGTAAAGTTTGCAGGCCTTTTGCAGGTAAGAGAAGTTGTAATCTAGGTGGTTACTTTTTCTCACCTGAAAATCTACATTTTGTGTTGGATAAATAGTAATACCAATATTAGATTTCGTATTTAAGTTCTGTACAATGCTTACTTGCTTCTTCAGTTACTAATATTTTCTGCTTCCTGCCTTTTAAAACATCTCTGATTTTCTGAAGAAGTTTACACAGCTAAGTAGAAACATACTTGAAGATGAGGTGACTTTCCTAGTAAATATTGGACTATGTTCATTTGAACACTGAAGTCACCTCCAATTAGGATTGAGTCCCAAGCACTTTGCTCAAGTAGCAGAGTAATGAACTTTTCAAGGTCTTCCTCCATGAGTAGGGAAGGTGACAAGTTGCAACTTCAAAATGATCTGTGCTTATCTAATTGATTTCAAAAGCTTTAGGAAGTTTGTCTCATTTGTGTCTTCTTGCCTTGTTTTTATCTCCTGAAAATTTGCTATGTTCAAATAATTTAATTGAATTTTAAACTGACTAAATCTCTCTGAATACCAATTTCTGAAGGAGTAAATCCAAGGTTGTACAAATTGCACAAGGTTGCAAACCAAGGTTGTTTTGGTTTTATTTTGCTGGGGTTTTTACCACGGAAACTGTCTTTGTGAGAGCTTTAATGGAACATTCATAGCATTTTGTTTTCATTTCGATACTTAACCTATGGTTTTAAAAAAGCTTGCTTTTCATTAGCTGCTTGCCTTATGTTTCTCTTTAGGACATGCAGGTGACGGGAGTAGAGGATGACAGTAGAGCTCTGAACATAATCATCCACAAGCCTGCCTCAAGCCCTCATTCTAAGCCCTTCCCCATCCTTCAGGCCACGTTCATTTTCTCGGATCACATCCGCTGCATTATCGCCAAGCAGCGCCTGGCAAAGGGCCGCATCCAGGCCCGGCGCATGAAAATGCAGAGGATAGCAGGTGAGTGCTCACTGTGAAAATGGGTCTGGAAACAAGGCTTGTGTGCCATTGCAAATCACTCTGTGACACAAGGGTGAGGCACAGAAACCTTAAAAAGTGGTGGCCGCAGGAAGCTGTAAAGCAGTGTCGAGTTTCCAAGTGATAGATTTTACTGGAGTGAAATATGTGGTTTCATAGTTGTGACAGACAGTTCAGGAAAGGATGAAAGAGGAATCCTGTCTTGTTGCCACTTGCTGCCAATTATTGTACAAAACACAGCGTTTCTCTTCAAGTGTGGTTCAGTGATTCAGAATTCCAATAGAAAGCAGATGTCCTGCTGCCCCAGGACTCAACTGGAGCTCAGTTTGCTTGAGTTGGATGGTGTCCTGATGGTCTTGATGATAATGCTTGGATGTGGTGATGATGAGCAATCCAAAATGTTGAGTGACACAGCAGCACTAAATTCCTGTGTTTGGGGGAAATGCTTGTGAAGACATGAAGGAAAGAGTTAATTTGAGGAAACAGCAGTGATTCAAATATTACTCGAATATTGAGTGAAGAGTAAATTGAAGCTTACCAGTAAACTGAGTGAACTGTTGAGTACAGAAAAAGAAGCTCTGAAATATAGGAAGGAAAATAAGTGTGCAAATAAAAAGAAGCCCAGTTATCTAAGTTACTCGGATAGTCCAAGAGCAATAATGAACTAATCAGAGCTGTGAAAAACAAAGTAATAACTGGTATTAAAATTACTGAGTTGGCCAGAGAATTATTCTGATTATAGATGCTTTAAGATTATTATGGATGTGTAGGAAGCTAATAAAGAATTTTATACTTGGAGTTTATAAAGTGGATATGTCATACTTTTATGGCTTGCTTCATATAAAAAAATTTAAAGCAAGTCTGAGGGTAATACAGATCTGCTTGATATTAAAGGTTTTAAGTTGAATGGTAATGCAGAGGCATTTTTTTGCCAGTTTAAAGGAGTTTGTCTCTTTCATTGGCTTTTTGCAGTGTAACTAATGAATTACTCTATTTGTACAGAGGAAAACAAAAGGATTTTTTATTTTTAATAACTCCTATGGCTTGTTTAGTGCAAGGAGCTTCCTGCAATCCTGGTTTTTTTAGCCCTCCACTGTTTATTCTGGGGTTTCTTTAGTGTGAATGTGATGTGGACAGCAATGGTAGAACAGGTTGCCAGAAGTGTTGTCTCTCTTGTTTTTCAATGCAATTGTAACCATAATTAACAGGCAAGTGCAGACAAGTCACATTAAAAATCTGATTTAGTCTTAAGATCCTGAACAAACTATCAATTTTATTTTCACCTCCTCTTCCTTTTATGTATTTTTGAGTAACAAAAATTATCAATTGTGATTAAACATAGCTCTCCTGGATCTTCCTGTTCAGCCTTCAACTGAAGTTATGGGTTTTGGACACAGCTCTGGAGCTACAGCCCAGCACCTTCCCTTTAGATTCTACGACCAGTCCCGCCGTGGGAGCAGCGACCCCACAGTGCAGCGCTCTGTCTTTGCATCTGTTGACAAAGTCCCAGGTGAGAGCAGCATTCACTGACAAAAACTGTATTGTAATCTGTATAAGCAGTGAAAAGCTTGCTGTAATATGTTCCTGAACACACAAGTCCAGCATGAGGCTTATGGAAAAAGTTACTCCTCAAGAAACAAGTAACACTGGGGGGTGTGTTCTGGGTGTGTTGTGAGCAATACTTCATGGCAGTTTCCCCAAATATGCTGGGAATATCTTAGTACTTTGACTTCCTTTACAAATTGACTTAGATTAAATCCTGTTTTGCATACTCAGTATTTATGCAACACATCTGTCAGTTGTGAGTATTTCCTCCTCTAGTTTGGTTATGATGGGTTTTGTGCCAGATTGTAAAAATAACCAGGATACTGTGAACTGCTTCATTTAAAGCCAGCAAGAGAAAAGAGGGTCACACCTGCTCCTAAAACATTAGCTTGGAACTGGGATTAAAGGAATGATTCTGAAACAATGGGCTCTTTGCTTTTTGTCTCTTACTATCTGTTTCACAAACTGACTTCTCCACAGAATTTCTTTTCCAGATGGTGAAATTTTCTCATTTGATCTTGAGTCATTTTAAAGTTGAATTTCATACTGCTTGAAAGTACTTATTTGTGCTGTATTATACAAAAAGATACAATGTCCTTACCCCACTTTTTGCCAATCCTTTCACAGAAGTCAGCATTTCTCTTTAAATGTGATTCAGTGGTTCAAAATTCAAGTGCCCTACTTAAGATGTTTAACTGCTTTAAGACTGAATTGGAGCTCAGTTTTCCTGAGTCTTGACTGGGGAACAGAAATTATAAAACCATAGATATTGCCAGTCAGGTATTTCAAAAGACAAGTGTATGTTGTATGATGGGAGTGTATTTCCTTATTTGACATGACTTCCAGGGAAAAGGTGTGGTTGGAAAGGTGCCCCGGGGTTCCTATTTCAACTTTCTCTAAGACACGTGCCCTTGTGTTCCTAACAAGTGACTTCATCTACTAATTTCAGGAGGGGATGTTGGAGGTGGTGCAGTATGGTAATTTGTTCAAACAAGCACATACTTCCTTTGAATTCCAGGGAATGGAGACTTGCACTTGCAAATCCAGAGGAAAAAGTATTCTGAAGCTTTTATTTGGTACAAAGTACAAGAAATGAGGCACAGAACATGAAGTATTTCAAGTGTAGCATCTTTGAAGTGCGTTTTATGACAGCCAGTAATATAATAAAAAATGGATTCACATCCTGTTTTACGTCTGATTACAAAATAAATATCAAATGCCTCTTTCTTGCTCATGGATAAATGAGGTTTCCTAGTTCTGAGTGATTATCATAGGAATCTGTTTGTGCTTATCCCTTAATCAGGCCCACCGTGATTTTTACTTCAAGAGGAAGATTTTTTTTGCCTTTTGAAACAATGACTGAAGAAGTTGCAGTTAAATTACTGGCTTCATGTATTCATTTCTTAATGTTACACCTTCATCTGGTGCTTAAGAGTTGTGCAAAGCTCGTACAATCAGTTAATTTGATTGTACTTTTAAGAAACAAATTATACTTTCTCTTGGTGATGATGTCCTTTCTAGATTTAAAGGAGAACTAGGTTTTTTGGCAATATTTTTGGAAGCTTATTTATTACTTTTAGTTGGACCATGTTAGCTGTCAGTGCTGTACACCCAGTGTAGTTTTTAAGACATTAACAATATCAAAATATTTTCAGCTCTCCTCCAAATTTTGGTCTGTGGAGGATTTTAATACAACTGTTGAATCAGTTCCCTAATCCATCTTGTCAATGAATTCAGAATTTCCAAGAACACTTATTTCAGTCTGGTCTGGTTCAGTTTCTGTCATAGTGCATAAATAGAGCTCTCCATATTTCACTAGAGAGTGTGCAGTTACCTTGTTGTAGGCAAACTGTGCTTTGTTTTTCTTTATTGTTTCATGGCACAAAGTTAAAATGTTTTTTAAAGTGCTTCTTGGTATCCTGGGGGGAAGAGGGTGAGGATTGTTGTAGTTTAAAACCAGATTTTGTGCAAGACATGTGAAAGGTGATGAGAATATAGCAGACCATGCTCCAGAACATCCCTATTAACCTGTATGTTTTATTGAGTGTTATCCAAAGGCAGTGAGATGCTGGAATCATCCCAACCAACTGGCTGATAAACTGGGCAGTTCTTATCAGAGAACAGCATAAGCAAAAGCCTTCACTTGATCAATTTTATCATCATGAGGTCATGGCTATTAATATACTTCAGGGTCTATTTTAAGTTAATGGCCTTTGCTAGAATGTTAGAGATTCTAGGGGTAGTTTAGCTGGCTGGACTGTTCACCATCTGTGTATGAATATGATACTTTTGAAGCACTCTGTGTAAATAATTATATTGTTTTCAAAGAAACCAGCAAATTTGGTAGGGGCCCTGTGAACACAGGTCTTCTACTGAAAATAAATAAATAATGACTTCCTCTCCAAACCAACTCAAGTATTAGTTTCAAGTATCAGCTCTATTCTGAGATTTATGTTCCCAGTGTGTCTTAAGGGAAATCTTAATGATTTCCAGCAAAAGGTACATCTAAATATTTTAACAAGTGTGGTAGCTTACCTACTGAGTAAATTTATTTTGAAAAGCAAAAGGAATCAATAAATATCTCTTACTATTTTATCCATTGTTAATACCTTATATATGATGATGATGATATGATTTGGAAGGGAAAAGCTGAAAAAACCTCTCACTAACAATAGCCATGGCAAGCAAACTATAACCATCTTCATTTTAAAATCTGAAGGAAAAAATCATCTTTTATAGCTTTGTAACCCTTTGAATGAAAAAGAAAATACAGGCAAGAATTCTATATAAAGTTTGGTCCACAGCTACTGTAGGAACATCAGATTGGAATAGTTTACTTAAGTATGATATGAGAATTTGTAGTAAGATAACAATGTATAGAACAGAATAGAAGGAAATTGCCCCAGAAGACATTGGGGCAATGAGGATATGGTTTGCAATGAGAAAACATTTACTGCTTTCTTGGCCAAGATTTTATTTCTACTTCTCAGGCTTCTTTTTTTTCGCTCTTCCTGTTTTCTGCCACCGGTGCCCTTTCCCCTTTTCCTCACCTCCATTTTTATTCTTAGGAGAATTTATGGTTAAGGCTGTCTTTCACATGAAAACTACTATAAGACAGTAGGTAAGCTTTTCCCAGTTTAGGAGGAAGATTTGCATTAATTGCTTAAGAGAAAGTTCCTTTAAAGAAAAACTAAGAAGCTATTTCAGGTTTTGGCATGAAATTTTGCTGCTGTTGTGTAAAGTGCAGTAGGAGGATAGCTGTTGATACATGTTTTAGGAAAGAAAACACAGCCCTATGAAACACTGTGATTATGCAAATAAGATCTCCAAGGAATTGGGAAGCACATCTTTACAGCAATACTTTGCTGAGTCTTTAATAGAAAAGTATGTTAAAGCAGAATCATGGCTACTGGAAAGGAAATATTTTTGTTCATTAGCAACCACAATCACAACTTGAGAGTCATAAAGTAATGAAAAAGACACCTCTAGAACCTTCTAAGTTAATTTTACTTCCTGTAGCTATGATTAATTCTGCTCCCCTTGTCTTTGCAAGTATTTCCTGAAGGAGTTTCCTGATTAGCAAATTTGTTCTTGGTCAGTAGTTTCCCAGTTACAGTATGATTTAGGCTTACTTTTCCCTCCTGTCTAAATTAACTTCCTGTTAACTTCAAATCCTTCTTCTGCAGTTGTATTGGGAGAGAAACTGTGTTAAGATCATTTTGAAGCAAATGCTCCCTTGTAAGGACACAAATCCCTGAGTGGTGTTCTGCAGAAGTTTGGGCAGGCAAGCCTGCTGAATCAGGCCAACTTTCCCTGTGATAGTCAGGGCAGACCTTATTTACTGTTTTCTTCTATTTTGGTGAGGATGGAAGATTTCTCCTCTCTTGAAGTGCAAACCTTTTGTGAACATAGAATGCCTTGGGTAGGTACAGCTTTTTCCAGCACTGTAAGGGAAGAAAAATATCTTGATATAAGCACTTCTATACCAGTGGCTTTAGTAGCTGTTCTTAAAACAAATTTCGTTCACATTAACAGTTGACTTTGCCTTACTTCTGTGGTCAGGAGTCCACTGATGATTCCTTGTTTCCCACTTCTAACTGGTATTTCAAAATATGAAGTGTGTGTGAGAAACCTAATGTACATTTTCTGTGATTAAAAACTGCAGCACTCAGGGCCAGTGATACACAAGTCTTTCACGTTTGAGGTAGGTCAGTTTGTGGTTAACTTTTTGCAGACTGTCAGGCGTCACTGTGTGTGACCTCAGTTTAACTTATCTAAGTGATTGTAGAAGATCAATCAGGTTGGTTTCTGAAATAAAATACATGAATTTATTTACATTTATGGGATAGTTAGCTCCTCACCAAACTGTTTTGTTTTTCACCAAAATAGATGGCTCCTATAGATGGTGGTGATTTAATTCTTTCAAGTGATATTCATCTTGGACATAACGAGTTGTAACTTAGATAAGAGAAAAGCTCAGTAAAAGTAGCATTCACCCGTCTAGAACTATGATGCAAGTATGACAGAAATGCAGATAGCATTGTGTTTGTGCAGGTGGCTTTGAGTCTAGTTCTAGACTGTAAGCATGGGGGGTAGGAGGTGGGAGTGCAGATCAAGTCAGATTATTAACAGGACTGATATTTGTTAGCTTTTTTCTGTGTTTTCTTCATTGTGTTTTTTTGTAGCACAACCTGTCAGTGTGTGTTGCTGCTTACAGCATTTTCCTGCCTTGTCATTTCTGTGTTTTAAAGCTTTCAGTGGGTCCTCTGGGTCACTACATGAAATCGGCACCACTTTGATACAGTATTTGCTCCTAGCTTTCCCCAATTTCTTCAATAGGTTAACTCTTTCAAGGTAATAATTAACTTGTAAGCTTCACTGTGCTGTTTTGCAGGCTTTGCTGTAGCCCAGTGTATAAATCAGCACCATCCCTCCCCACTCTCATCACCATCCCCTTCCAGTGGCAGTGGGAGCACAGGGCGCTGTGATTCGGTGACTGCGAGCTCGACATCCACTCCTTCTGCTGCACAGAGCCCCTCAGGTATTCAATCACCATTTTCAGCCCAGGCACTAAGGGATATAGGGTAGTTTATTGCAAAATTAAGTTACTGTGTTATTGGATTAAAAACAGTGGGGCTTTATGGTTTTAGGTCACTTGATCATTCAACTAAGCCAAGTAAAAGTAACTTGTGGTGCAAATTTTAATGATCTCTTCAACTTTCTGGAACTCTAATAAATACTTGTCATCTTTCAGTAATGATTTTAAGTACTGGTGAAACAATGTCCTGTTTGTCTGTCTTTTCTCCTAGCACACACAGTTTAGAATGTTGTGGGGTTTTTTTTGTTGATGGTTTGTTTTGCTTGTGTTAACTGAAGTATTGCTTTGCATGAATTTGTAATCTAAACTGTTAGCCTTTCACCTTAGTGGATAAGTTGATCTCCATCTTTTTTGAACTGGGTGACATTTGCTTTTGTATGTTTTTCTGATACTCATGTTCATTTGTAACAATGGGCCAAATATGAAATATTTGAAAAATAGTTATTTAGGATGTTAATATTGTAAAGCTTTTGCAATAACACTCTTGTGGCTGAACACCACCAGTCAGGAGCTGTTCCATTGGTCCAGAAGAGCAACATAAATAGTGACAGTGTAACTTTCACAAACATGGCCCCCATTTGTTTGCACTGGTCAATATATTTAGTGGGTATGTTTAAACTGGAACTTCTTGTTGCAATTAGAACAATTACTATCCTTTTTGGATAGTAATTGTAGAGAATCTTGTAATGGTGTCTGTTCTGAGTGCAAATTATGTGAGGTAAAGCCTCAGGCTGGAGACTAAACAAGAAGTAAATGCTGAAGGGTGCATGCTGGGCTGCTTTTGTGCTAGCACTGATCTCCTCTACTTCTTTTGGTTGTAAAACAAAAGAGGGAACCTGATTCTCGGGACCTTTTCAAGTAGCTCCCTCATTTTACTGGTCACTTCCAATGTTGATCACTCCTTGAGAGGGATGTTCTGGTTACCCCTTCTAAGACATACCATTTTGGAAGCCCCAGCTAGATCTAAACTTTGTTGCAGTCCTACAGGAAATGATGCAACCTTTGTTAGGCATTTAGTGTTCTGTAGCCTTCACTGGAACAGTGTCAGCAGATCAATGTGCATTACATGTTTAAAGTGACTATCCCTGCAAGAAACACTGCTGGAGAGGGTGAGGAGAGGGTGCTTATGAAGTTTATGAACAATAAATATGTAAAGCATTCAGCACCTAGACTCTAGAGGTGCTATCATTTATTTGTCAGAACTCTCAATATGGATTGGCACTACAAGAAAACATTTGTTTGATGACCTGTTTCTCCTTAGCAGTGTAAAAAGGCTCATGTGCAATATCCTTGCTGTATTTAAATCATCTGTGATCAGAGAAATGTAACCACAAGTTCTTGCCAATAGCGGCTAAGAGAAAACTGTGGTAAAGGAAATGAAAATAAAGAATCTAAATTATTTTTGTTGTTGTAAGCAACATGCCAGTTCACAGAAATATCAAGCAAGACTGTACTACATTTCAAACTGAGGTCTCTCAAGTGCATATAATCTGGCTTCTATGAAAAAATGCCTAGATCCAGAACACATAATTACTCATCAAGCATAAAAAGATAGTGCCTTATCGAAGAATAATCACAGACTGTAGTTACCAAAATTACAATTTACTTACACGCTATGTTGGCATTTGTATAACATAAAATTCTGTTTTTCCTGCAGTTTAAAAAACCTGATGACAGAAGGCTGGTTTTTGTTTAAAAAAAAAAAAATAAAAACAATAACCAAAAACTCAAAACAAACTCTTCCCTACCCTCCCCAAAAGCAAACAACCAACCCCCCCAAAAAAACAAACAAACAAACAAAAACCAGAACAGAACAAAAAACAGAGGGAAGGTTTTCTTAAAAGCCTGTTTTCAGTGTGCACATACTGATTACATTGCATGAACTGCCCTCCTTGACCTTCCCTGTGAATTAATCATAAAGCGTGTACAAAATGCCACGTGCCATGCAAGAAAACAGTCTTTGGGTGAGGTTTGATTTTTTTGCCCAGGATCTGGGCACACTGATGCAGATGATTTAACAAATGTAGCTGTGAGGATATAGTTCTGTGCTCCACCACCATAAGGACAATGACCTTCAGTAAAGTCAGAGGAGGTGAATTATGAGAATGTGCATCAGCTCCTTCAGTCTGGGGTCAGCAGCTTCACTAACCTGCTGCAGGGATGACTTTGGAGCTCAACTCCTGGTTTTGTTCTGCTCAGGGGACAGTAACAAAGAGGAAGACAGTGACTGTAGGTGCCTGAGCAGGTAGTTTGTTGCAGTTGGACAATGCACAGGTGGTACTGAGATGGCTCAGGGATTTTGCTATGGACCATATTTACCCTGACCTTTAGGACCAAGAATCTCTGCCATGTATGAGATTGTCTGAAGGACCAGTTATTAGTTCAGGCATACGTTGCTATTAATATTTGAAGTGTATTTGGTGAATAGTTGTAGCATATGTTGTAGTTTGGTTTCCTTGTGAAGGAATGTCATTAATGCACAGAAACTGTTCCTAAAATCAAACAAAGCAGTAAGTGTGCATGATTCTTCAGAAGTCTGTACCAAACTGCTGGTGTAGTTGCAGCCAATAATGAATAGTTTTAAATTGCTGTAGCTGAGGGGGTGATGGTGTCTCAAGGTCCTCAGTATAGACTAGAGAGAATTCTAGGTCTTTTGGGTGTTGGGATATGGGGAAGGTTTTCCCCAATCCAGGGAGCTCTGTTGACACTTTTTGCTAATCTTTGGTGTCTATTCTTGGGAACAATGTTTCTGCATTCACTGATTTGACTGGTTTACTGCGAGTTTGTAATTAATGTTCTCCCTTTTATACCATTTATATGTAATTGAGATCTGTACTGGAAACTTGCCAGGAACACGGTCATGACAGAGATGATCCCTTTGGCATGTCCAGATAGGCTTCTGTGTGAACAGAGAAGTACTCTGCTGAAATAAGTGACAGTGTCATCACTGTGTGTTGTATCAGGTCTTACTGACCACTCAGCTGGGATATGGGAACAATTGTTGGTATTCACCCACTTCAATGCAAAACACAGTGATTTTCCCTTAACCATTTGAGGGCAGTTGGAACTAGCCTGCCTTACTTGGCTGTAAGCAGAAGAGGCTTGCATGATGTGAAGTGGCCCCTTAGAGGAGCAAATAACAAGTAGGTGATGAGCAGCAAGCAGTTCCCAAGAGCTGTTTTGTGTCCCAAGGTAGCACTTGAATGCTGCCACCATCTGTCACGTTTGAATCTCCCGTCTCATTTCCCATTCCATTTTAAACACACTCACACAAGCACATGTATGAGCTCTCTGTCCCTCCCTCCTTCCCTGCTCCCCTGTTTGTTCTGGCAACTGCTGGAGTTGTTGAGCATGAAGAACATGCTGAGCTGCTCAGGAACTTCAGTCAAGAAGGCCAGACAAGATAAAGGGGAGATGAGCATGTGGACTTCAAGGAAACTACCTCAACTACCTTCCTTAAGAGCAACATTTTAAACCACAGAGCTTTTTATACTGTAAACTTGTGATCATAGTGTCCTGAACTACTGTCTGTTGACAGTTGCTATTGATTTAAACTGTTCAGGGTTTGATATATTTGAGATGGCACTTGTAAATCTTTGCAGAGTTGTTTCAGGAAATAAGATTTGGAACATACCAACTTCAACATAAAACAGTGATAGATGAGAACAAAATAAAGACCAATTGTGTGTCAGTTAAGAGAAAACAATGTTACAGTATAGAGTATATGTTAAAGGTTAAACAGCAAAAGAGCTTTCAAAAATGCATGACAGGGAAAAAGTGTTAATTTGGTGTTTTGTAAAAATAGTTTACTTGTATCACCTTACCTGCATCAAGCAATCCCACAGTGTTGCATTAACTGCCTTGTCATGAGTAAAATAAACTCTTATGATTTTTATCAGCTATCGTACCTAATAATTGTCACACTGCTTTATGGCACAGATATTTTAAAACCTAGTAGCTCCCATCTTTGTGGTATTTGGGAATTAAGCTTAGCCCCTTATAAGATCACAGTTCTTTAAAATTGGAAAGGCAGAAGTCACCCCTTAAAGAAAGCAGAATCCCTAATGACAGAAGAGGCAGTATCAGGTTCTGCAAATGCTGCTGTTGCTTTGGGTTTTTTCTTTGTATTTACATTATTTATTTTTTTTAATGAACGTGTCCTTTTGAAGTGTTGCTGTGCATAAAGTAGAAGTGTTTTCTTTCTAGGCAGATTTTAGTCATCAAGTTTCAGAGGTTAGAATACAGTCACATCTTGGCTAACCTTGCTGGAACCAAGCACTCCTTTAAGTGCTTATTTTTATATATGTCAAAGATTAGATATAGAAGCTCTCTTACTGTAAGTTAGCAGCCTTCCAGAATTACAAATGTGTTAATGTCATCTACACTGTATTTTATTACTGTTTAAGTTGTCTTAACTTTAAAAAGCAATTGGCTTCAGTACTTAAGAAAATGTTTACATTGGAGCAATGGATATTGAGGACTTCACAAGGCACTGATCTTCTGTGCCACTTACAGTGTATTTCACACTTCTGGCAGATATTGATGATAAAAGGCCTAAAATAAGACTAAGAGCTGTCCCTTGTTGCAGAGAACATATTGGATTCCAGTCTGTAAAATTAAATTTTTATTCCAAGGAGAGGGTGATTTATGAAGCATGGAGAGCCTGTAAGAGAAGTGCCTCCCATCTTATTGAAACCATCCCTGTCTCTTCCCTCTATAATCAGTGATGTAAATGTGGTTTGATCTCCTGTTCTATGATGCTAGTAATTTTTCAACTAGCTGAGGAAGTACTTTTGTTCTTAGAAAGTTTCTTTTCTAGGAACTTTCTATGCACCAAGCATCATCATCTGAACTGCTGCTATCTTTTAAAACACTGTGTTTAGCTTTATTATAATCATTATAATTCATTATAATGTAGATGATAGAATTGTAGGGCTGAATGGTCTGCAGTGTTGTCACCTGCACAGTACTGCACCTCATATAATTTATGGCCAGGGAAAAAGAGAATAATTCTGTGTCACCAGAACTTGTGATAAATAACTTCTCTTGAGATTTCTAAAGCATGTGAGGAGATTGGAATGCAAATAAATGCCTGCCAGTCCCTCCTTGGTGTAAGTGCTGCTGGTATTGCCAGGCACAGCCAAAACTGCATTATGAACCTTTTCAGAGAGGGGAGCAAAAATTAAATTCAGTTAAACTCGTGTATTCCTAAAGAATGAATACTTCCAGCTCCAGAAGTATTTCCCAAACTTGGAAAGCTCTTGGTGCGGCGTCAGATTGTATCCAAGATACCAGCAGTTCCGGATGCGTCCTTGTCACTTATTCTTGTTGCTGCTCTAACATTTATCCTTTGTCTTCATTCCAGTTTCCCTTCCCTGTGTCCCTGTTAAAGCCTGTGTATGATATATCGCTGTGTTTTCCTCTAGTAAGGTCTGGCAGGAAAGGACGCCGGCGGGTGTTTAGTCTGTCGGAGGCTGACAGTCACGGCGGACACTGGGTTTAGGTCTTCGAGCAGCAGCTGCAGCAGAAACTCCCGCAATACCCACTCAGGCAGGTTCCTCCATAAGCTTTCACGAGCCCATAACACTTGTTAATAGAACATACTTGGTTTCCATGCTGACACCAGTGCCAGTGAGGTAGGAAGCTGAAGAAAGCAAGCATGGTGGTTTTTGTCTCTGCATTTCGGTTCGGGAGAATTGTAAAGCAATGTTGAGCCATTTCTGAAAGCCTTGTCTGCGGTTTCTCCCACATCTCTTGTCTCTGTTGCCGAAGGTGGAAATTGTGCTCTCAAGTCTCCAGCTTCAAAGCAGCCATGTCTTCATTTGCACAGGGCAGCTCTGGCTGTAGTGACACTGAGTGAGCACAGGCTCTGACTGGACAGCGATGCAGGTACTTGGCCGGCAGCAGGGAGTCTGTTTATAGCTCAGGTAACATGGACAGGCATTCAGCAGAACTGAATGGCCAACTGCCCTTGGGCTCTGATGGCACAAGCTTAATACTTCTGTGATCATCAAACTTGGGCAGGTGACTTTATGGACTGTTTAATTACCTGAGGAGGGGAAGCACATGCAGAAAAGATGGAAATACGCTTCAGATGACCTGCTTTTTTATATAACCTGCTTTAACTTGTATCTAATTAATTTCTTTTTTTTACTGTCATGGCACCAAGATACTTTACTCTGTTTATATTATGTAAACACCCTTTTTCATCTTTATAGATTTAATTTGCATCTTTTCACTTAATGTCTGGTAATTTATGTTTTCATTATTGTTTCATATTATGTTGCTGTAGAGATTAGAACACTTCTCTGTAGATGATATTCATTCTTTCCTTTTTCTGTTCTAGTCTGTCTTTTTTCACTGATAATTCTTCTGAACATAAGTTAATATAACAGAAATTGAGTGATTTGGTGTGGATTTTTTTGCTATAACGATAATCTCTGTAGCATTACAGAAGTGCTGAAAAACATCTAAGGCTGTTGAAGCCACTGGATCCACAGAGAGCTAATAATACCCCAAAACTTGCAAAATGACACCCTGTTTTCAAATCTTGTATGGTGCTTAAGTTTGGAGGTACGTGGGAGGGGTTTGTTAGAACTAAATGTCAACATCACAACCGTGTGAAGAAAGTGGCTGAACTCTCCTTGGTATTGTTTCAGAACTGGCTTGCATTTTTTTGCCAGAACACTCTTGCTTGGAAAGAGATAAATAGAAATGTTGTTCTCCAGTATTAGATGATAACTTTTTCATATTTAAGAGTAGGGCGTATCTTAATGATCAGTGGTTTTATCCAGGTGAAAATTACAATTACTTTTTTTCCTTCTATCCAAAAGTCAAACTGGAACCAAATGTTAGGAGTTTGAGGTTTTTTCTGAAAGCCACTGTATTGGCAGAAATTCCAGATAATGGGTAGAGAAATGAGTCTGTAAACATACTGGGTACACAAAAGTCTCTAGAAGCCAGAGCTTGGTGTACCTGTCTTGGTACCTACCTAGAGACAGATGTTCCTGTAAGCCCATTCTTTAGGGTTTTTTTCCACCCAGGGCACATCTTTTTGCCAATTGTTTATTCCAGTTTCAGAGACTTTCATAATTCAGATCATACATAAATGTATATTTATCTATTTACATCCTTCTCTGAGTTGAGCATGACTTCAAAAGGCTTTGAAATTTTGAACCTCAAAGATTTTCTCATTAGTAATTATTGTCCTGAAACCAGGTATTCAGTTAAAAAAGTTTTTCCATCATGAGGATTGTCTGATGTTTTTTTTCTTTATAATGTCTCATATACCAAATTTTCATTCCAAGATGCTGGATCTCTGTATTCCTTCATCTGTAGTCTGGGATTATTCTCCTCTAGGCTTATATCCAAAACATATGAGAGATAATCATGGTAAAAACCTGCTAACACAAGTTTATAGCTGCATTTTCAAGCCAAGTGTACACCTCAAGTAGCCTGTGGGCTTGAGAGCTCTTTTTGATATTTTTATCTTTTTTTCCTGAATGTTTTTTGAGACTTCTGTATGGAAAGTTTGGGCTTGTTAACTCCAGATACTTTTTTTTTTAATGGGCACTTTTTTCAAATACTCTTTGTGACATTAAGAAGGGAGTCACTTCAGGATTAGAACCTACGTGGAAGGATTTGGGGACAATACACCATAACAAAAGAACATGTATGTCTTTCATGATTTCAGTAAATGAAAGTATTGAGAAAATATATTGATATTTTATTGGGAAATGGGGAGGAATGATGTAAGAAATGAAGTGCAGAATCAGAAGTGAAATAGCAGAACCACAGTAGAGATGTGCTGTATATAACATTCCTGAGCAGAATGCCACTGATTGAGAATCCTTTATTTACCAGAATGCCTCAAGTTTCTGAATCCTGAATTTTGGTGAATATTCACATTATAGTAGAGGTAAAATAAAAAATAGTCTTGGCAAAGAACATTTGATATCCTTTTAAGATTTTATAAATTCAGAAAGTAAAATCACCACAAAGAGACTCACTGTTTTGTGCATCCTGAAATGGTAGCATTTAGCTTGGAATTCAGGGAACTGAGGCTGTATTTTATTGTTTTAGCAGTTCATTTTCCATGCAAGTCTTGCATCACTTCCTCTGTTATCAGTTGCTACATTCTCCCTAAAGCTTCTTGACAGCTGAAAAGAATCTGCAGAGTTACTTTGAATCTGTCCTTATATTTCCAAAATAACCAGTCGTGTCCCTTTGATTTAAAAGGAGACTTTTTTACAGTCTGTAAATTTTGTTTTTATTAAAGCGAGAAGCTTTAGCCACCGATTCAACAAAAAGTAAATTTGAGTGGTTTCTGAAGTGAGAATACACCATTGTTTGGGTTTATCTTTCCAGCAAGGTAAAAAAAATCAATAACCTTACTGTTATCCCACTGATCCCTTCCTGATATCCATTCCTTTCTCAGCTTTGTTTGTCTTCTTTTTTTTTTTTTCTTATGTTCATGCTTTCTGTTCTTTTCCAGGATTAATTGGAATCATATTGAAACGGAAATATTTTTAAGGTCACTGTATTAAAAGCAGAACCTAATTCTTAGCTTCTGTATTCACTACATTGCCTTGTAGACTTTGTGCAGATGCCTGTACACTTGAACACATGCTGTTTCTTACAAAAGCTCTAAAAGTGGTCTGTCTTGAAGCTGGATACCTGTTACTTTAATGGCATCTACTGTTGTGGTCCGAAAAGAAAAAGAAAAAAATTACTTTTCTGGGCATACTTGCTCATGTAAGGCTGTATCATCTCATCCCCTCCATCCTTCTCCATCCTGAGCCAAATGAACAGTTTACTGAATAGTTCACTTGGATTTTTAGGGGGAAAAGGACAGTACAAATAGTTGTTAATGCTGGAGTTGTTTTCATAGTGTGGGAAGGTGTAGTAGCATATCAGTTTTCTGTGGTATGTTATGCTTATTCTCAATTTTGTGTTGTATGCTCCATGCTTAGGAGGACTAAAAAATCCTATGACACGAGCCTGTATAAACCAGGCCTATTTTGCAGCACCTTTCAGTTGCAGTAAGCACATTATCCTCCCTCCTGTGCTTCCATAGTTCTGCTTTCTGTGGTTGAGGTGTCACTTCAATGTGAATCTGGAGAATGAATTGAGAGAATGACTTCCAAATTTTTGTAAGAAACAAGCCACCTTTTGGGAGAGCTAGCTATACAGTGGTTCTTTTTTGGTTTCTCTTTTATTTCTAAAGATCTTCCTGGCATGGGGTAGCTGTTCATTTTAGTGGGTACTAAATACTGGAGAGGTTTCCTTATTCTTCCCCTCAGTTTCCTCTCTCTAGGAATATTTCTAATATTGCTGCATATTCTAATACTAAATGTCTAAAATTGTCTGGTTTTGAACAGAATCTTGCTGGCATTTTAGGTTATGCCTCCATAATATCTTGTTTTATTTCTAATTACTAGAAAGTGAATGTGTAAGCATAGTGCTTCACAGAACTGCATTTCTCACCCAATTATTCTTGAACACTCATGAATAATAGTATATTGTTTGGCTTAATGTACGTACTAAATTGAATATTGATTATTCCTGGTGTTTTCTTTTATTAGATGACCCTTCAGCTCCAGAGCATCCTCAGACGGCCATTTCCGGTCAGACGATGTTGACTGATGAAACTCCTTCAGCTGTCTCAAAGTCCAGCAGAAATGCTGGGAAAACCAGTGACATAGAAACAGCAAACCTGTCTCCCAGCCTGATTCCTGCCCAGCAGCCCACAATATCCCTAATTACAGATGACAACACGGATACACTGAGCGTGGAGTCGCTGACCCTGGTGCCTCCGGTGGATCCCCACAGCATCCGGACATTCCCCTGCATTCCTCAGCCCTCTTTGCAGTCTGAAGATGAAGTTTGCAAGGTAAAGGAGGTTGAGGAAGAATGTTCTGACTAAAGCCAACATGCAGACTGTAATAAACAGTGAAGAAAACGCAACCAAATTCTGAACTGTTTTTTCTCTGGGAGTGCAGATACTTCTTGAGGCCTGAGAGGCCGTGGGGTCCACAAGGGGCCCACTGGTGAGTGAGAATGTCAGCAGCTTTTAGAGGAAACATTGGATACTCAGCATATCTAAACTGGAGAAAAGGGAAAAAAACAAACTTTTGAATCTGGACTGGTTCTTTCCTACCAGTTTCTGTTATACAACAACATGAAAGTGTTTCAGAGGACCTACTGTCTTTCTAACAGGAACTAATTAATTGTAAAAGGTCTACAGTATTATGAGGGAGAGAAGAAATTTTTGGATACCCAGCTTCATGATGCTATATTATTACGTCTCTCAAACTGGAGACATGCCATTGACCAGAAAAAATGATTTATTGTAGTACAGAGGCAAAATTTCCTTTTGAGTTAGGGTGTGTTTTTCAGTTTGGTGTTTGGTTTGGGTTTTTTGGGGGGAGGAGGGGTTTTGGGATTTTTTCGGTTGGTTTTTGGTTGGTTGGTTTTGTTTTTTAATCCTGATCTTGTTCATCTTTTGGAGGTCTGCATGATACCAGCAGGCTTGGCCACTTTCAGTGTTGTCTTCATAGGGCTCCAGACTTCAGTATTGTTTTTTCCATCTGAAATATTTATTTCAAGGTTTGATTCAAAGCAAGATACAATTTTCTAGAAGGTAAAAGTCTGAAGTTAATGACAAATGCTTATTCAAATTAACCTAAGGGATTTTGGAGACTACTTTAGTCTTTGCTTAGCCATCTACAGAGGAATGTGAAACATTTTAAGATATTGCTTGTTTGCTTCTGACAGTTAGATTGCTACACCTCTGAGGGATGGTGGTATGCTTGCTACTGAAAGACAACTTCAAGAAGCAGACAGAAGCAGTTTTACTCCAAAGAGAGTTTTCAAATTTTTCATAGTCATATAGGAAGAAGGTCACCATATCTAACTGAATTCCTTTGCAAGTCTGAAACAAAAAAAGAAAGGGATTGTGTAATTTTTTTTCCTATCTGGGATGGTATCCCAGTTAAACAACATTGCTACATAACTGTGATTCTGAGTTTGTGCTTGGCATGCTTTGCTTCCTAGATCCTGACACCAAGTTGACAGAAAGCAGTGGAAAAGTATTGAATAAAGTCTGGAATGTTCTCTGCTGATTTGATACGTAGTTTAACGTGAATGGAATTTAAGATTTTTCATCAATTTCCAAGTATGTTAATTTAAATTAATGTAAAATGAGCAGATTGTCACTGTGGGTCTGTTCATACTCAAGTGCTTTCTGGCTCTCAAAGAAGGAAGTCTGCTGTTTACTGCTATTGATTTCAGTCATCAGTGCAATCTTTTTCCTCATTCTGTCTCCACTACTATTGATTTCTTATCAAAGGGGTGAATCTGAAAAGTTTTTACCTACTTCCCAGTCGTTTATTGTACCTCTTCCTGGCTGTCATATGGAATACTTGGAATGATTTTCAATGTTATATTTATATATGAGATTGACTAATCCACAAGTATAACTTTTTTCACTTTTCCCATCTTCTCCTTCACATAATAACTTAACCTTTCCCAACCATGTATACAAGGTGTCTGCTACTGAATGCCAGTAATTTTTCTCCTCCCCTTATTAACTTTTGCATGCAGTTTTGTTGATTTCTATTTTCCTCTGACTTCTACTTCATCTCAAATTGAATTAACTGATAATTCTGAGCATTCCAGAGTGGCCCCAACTCTAAATGAATTCTGAGAGTTGAGTGTCCTCAGCACAGCTGTGCATGTTGGATGAGAATTTGGCATGGCTGGAGTAAGGGCTTACTTTTTGGGTTTGTTTGTCACATGCTTAGGGTGAGTTTGCACTCATGCAGTCACTGTTGCAGGTAGTGACCATGTACCTGAACAAGTCTAGACATCAGCAATTTGGGCACTAGGACCACATAAATTATTAGCTGAACTGATCGCAATCTAGACTTCCTCTAGGATTTTGCAGCATTGCACTGTAGCTCCAGTAATATTCTGAAGATCATTATAAAAAAATGCCTTAATTTGAAAGCATTTTATTTAGACTCTTGACCTAGATTACACAAAATGCCACTGTGCAGAATGAGTTCCCTTAAATAGAATTGCTTTTAGACAGGAAAACCTTGATCTTTATTTATCTCCTTTCAAATTCAGTTCTAGGAAGATCAGAGCCATGCACTAGGAGTCTCTTTGATGGGTATTCATAGTCTCACCCTTGAGCCACACTGCACAAGAAATGGGACAAAGGGATAGAAAGCTGACTTTGTGCTTTCATTGCCTTTGAGTGACTTTTAAATCTCATGACCAGTTGTCTGCTGAGAACTTCAGAGGAAATGACTGAGGTGGATACTGTTATTAGGAAAATAGAAGCCTAGGTCTGCTGTCTAGTCTGCTGCTGGCAGAGCCTTGCTGGTTGAGGGATAGGTGGGATATCTTCTAACAGTTCTATCAAAAGCTCTCTGCAGAGATGGAATTACAGCAGGAAAGGTCTGGCTGCACCAGCTTTACCGATGCTGGGGTGTTACACTTCAGCTGCGTCTGGATGGTTCTGCCACAGAAGCAATTGATTTTTGACTTTGCTTCTGATATTAAGGCATGTGTGTATACAATTTTCTGTGCTTTGTGCTGCATTAGGAGACTTCAGAATGTAGAAACTGGAGATGCCAAAATAATCTACCACCAGCCATTTTTAAGCTCTGCAAGTATAATACTCATCTACAGTTCCTTGAAGAGTATCATATCTATCTCTCACTCATCAGAATCTGTTTCCTTAGGCTATTTCCTTGCCCTCCTTTCACTGTAAAAAGGAGACTCAACCAGGAAGGCACTAGCACATCAACCACAAATGTAATTTTTTTTCTTAAAAAAAAAAAAGTTCATTTGAATAACATCACTCTCTAACCAAACCCAAATACCAAACTGCAGGTGAGAGCAGCAGCTAAACAAGTAGTCATTTAAAAGCTCCATTCTTTCAGTGCAATACTGCAGAGGGAAATAGAATCACTCTAAATATAACAATATTCCAGAGCAAAATACCAAAATTCTGGAGATATGCTAAATTCTCAATGTGTGTTTGCTGGGGCTATGCCTCTTCACATAACACAATTCTGTTGAAAATTCCTTCCTTTTGAGAAGCCAAAAAAGCCAGGACATAATGAATGTTACTTTGCTATTTTATGGTCTGTGTGTCTTATTTTATTAAATTTTATCAAGCTATTACTTTTTTAACAGAACCATGTGTTGCCTCCACTGCTTCTCGCTGGTGCCCTTTGCTTTTTTGTCACCCAGTGTACAGTAGTGACCCAGACTTGAGCTTTGCATTTGTGAAGGGAGTAGTGGCAGCAGACACTTGGTAATTTGGTGAGGAAAGGGAGGGAGGAAGCACCAGTTCTGGTATCTGCTTCACCATGGAAGTAATGCTTGCAGTGTGAAGCTTGGGTGTGGAAACTAATTGTTTTGCTGAAATTCTTTGATATAGAACAAAACCAGAGGTTAAGCTTCCTGCACTTCGTTTCACAAGCTGTGTGTATTAAACCAAATCCATTAGAAATGTGGTCACATATATTACTACAAAAAGCTATATTTTGTCTGTGAAGTCATGATTTATATGCACTGTAAGAGCTGAGCTCATTTGTATTCTCCACTGCTAATCATGATAAACTAAATTCTGACTACACTTCCTTAAATTAAGCTGAGCTTAAAAAAAAAGAAATATATAAAATTACACCTATTGAAGAAGCTCCTCAGTGTTCTTCTCTTTACACCACAGCTGGAATTTTACTTGCAGTTACTTGGTGAGGAAAAATTGGGCATATCTTCCAGAGTTCATGTATTCTTTTGCAGTATTGTTGTTAAAGGACAGACTGGTATGTGACATTTAAAAAAAAAATTCTTCTTTCAGATCCAGAATTTAAGGCTCAGATACAGATCTGAGTATTCAGAGTTTAAATCAATGTCAAGTGATTCGTATAAGAGCTTTACCCAATAGAGAATACAGGGGGAAATAATGTTCCTTTCTGGATTTGAAGTATTTTGGTTTGTAGAATTTGAGAAACAATAGTTGAAATAGTTCGTTCTTGGCAAAATTTATGATCTTCAGGATCGAAATTACTGTGATTTTATTTTCTAATTAAGCAGTAAGGTGTGAGTGACTGTAATTTCCACTTACTGAAAGTGGCTTGGGGTGATTAAGCAATCCAGGAATTCAATAATTGCCCTGTAATTGAGTGTCGCTTCAGTAGCAGTAAAATGAACTTAAATATGCTTGAAGACATAGGTAATGTATCAGACAAGCAGGTCAAACTGTGTGTGTGAGAGTAGGAAGCCACTTCATAAAAGTAAACACTTTATTCACGTGGTGCTGTCAGTGCCCTGGTGTGACCGGTCACTCTCCACTGCACATTCCAGGGAACTCCAGAACAGCCTCAGGAATGGTCAAGGTTGTAGTGGTCAAAAAGCCCCACCAGCCTGAAAATTCTGACCGTGTCTCCACTACCCAGCTAAAGTTGAACGGGGAGTTGCTTTTAAAAGCACAAAGTGAGGGGTTTAGTGCAAATGAGAGGTTTGCAGAGACACCAGCTGGGGGCAGGGAGGTTGAGGGCTTTTGCCTCTGAAGATAATGAGTCTCCTTGATGAGTCTCCTACTTCCAGACAGCCTAATGTTAGCCATCTAAATATATGTTGAAAATTCTCTTCCTAACTGCTACTGTCATTCTTCTTGAAAGAGTTTTTTGGTATGTCACTGGGATATCCCACTAACCATCCCTGGGGTACCACTAACTGGGCACTGCTCTTCTATTATCTAGAAACCTTTGGAGTAGTTCTGCTGTGCTGGCCTGCTCTGTTGCTCATGACCTTTCCCAGCATTTGCAGCATGAATTAGAAACAAATATAATAACTCTTGCTGTCTCCTAGTGGATTCTGAAAAGCAGATCGTGGTCCAAGCAGGGCTTGCTAGGGTGGGATGTTTGTAGGGGCTGGGAGGGGGGAGTGCTTGGGGGGGTTTTCCTGCTGCTCAGGATTTTTTGAGCAGCAACAAAGACATAGGAGATGCAGTTCTTGGCTGAGTCTCAAACAGAAGGTTCTTTCATATGGAAACATACATATTTTTATATTACATTTGTACAGAATTTTCCCTATTTTGATCTCCCACCGTTTTTAGATTTGCGCGTTGCTCGGATTTGATTTCTTTTGCAAGGTGTTATAAAATGTATATTTTGTGTTTATTAATGTATTATAAATGTAAAGCTAACTTTTGGTTGTCTAATAAATGTGCACTGTGGTGGTATCTGGTTTATTGTTTTGCTAACTTGAATTCATTGGTTCTTAATAAGAAAAGGAAAAACTTGAGTCATTGTTGGGACTGTCTTGTCATAAAAAAATGTGTGGAGTGCATTTCTTTTAAAAGAGGGCTTAAGCAGGTAATGACTAACAATACTTGATAACAGAAGTTAGAGTTAAGGTTCAGATTAGTGTATAGTGTTCACAGGAGTCTTTTAAGACCATAATCTGAAGATACACTAGACTTTTTATCTTGTTCCCCATTACTTTTGGTTATGGGTGCTTTTACTAAACTGAGTTTAACACACACAGTAATTGCAGTCTGATAACTGTATATAGGAGGAGATGGGAGGGTCTGGGGTTTTGTGTTTAGAGACTGTGGCAGAAATATTTACAATGAACATGAGGATAATTTTTAAAAATATTGAAAATAGATTCAAGTGTGCAAATTTATAGACTTATTAGAATTTCTAGGAGCTTTGTTTTGCCCAGGGATAGCACTGAATAACACATTGTCACAGTTCTAGGGAACCTGCTGGAAGCATTATAAACTTCAGAAGATAACTTTAGGCATCTCCACTTGTGAATAGCTCTGTTGATATTTCTGTAGCAAACTTTTTATTTCATTTTGGGCTGTTTTGTAAGTTTGATTGTTTTAAGTGCAAAGAGGGAGAAATGTATTTTTCTAGGAGAATGAATGTACGTGGGATTTAAACACTACATAAAACATTTCATGAACATGGACTGTCCTCCTGTGAAATATGTTTCAATAAAGTTGTGTCTGAAATGTACTTCATGTAAGAAAAAAAACCAAGTCCTGAACATGCACTTACATTTACAGGGAAAAAAGCCCAAAAATGGGGTGAACTGAATTCTGAAACGTCTTTCTACAGGCAATAAGTATTAATTATTTAATATAAGTTATGTTAGACAGTTGGAGTAAATGTGACAATATCTTATGTTAATTTAAAGAAGAATGTAAATAAGTGTCTGGAAAGGGAGTGGAATCAGAAAATGTTGTGTATGTTTCTGAAATCCAGATTTCTACAGCTGAGTCTGTATTTGCTGGCATTGGTCATGTGTCGTGGCTGTTGAAAACCTGGACGAGGATGAAGAATGGACCTTTCTTTGTAAATGGAACTTGGCAATAAAAATGGTGTTACTAAGGAAACTTTCTTTCCCTTTCATGCTCTCTTGCTGCATTTGATGCTCGAGGACATTCAATAACAGTGAAAGGCAAAATTTGCAGAATCTTGTGTTTGTTAGAAGAATGTTGTGCATGTGTGAAGGGGGGGGGATTTTAATCTTTGAGCTGAAAACTGGAATAGCCAAAGTAATTTGCATTGTGTGTGCAGGACAGACACTGCATGAGAGGGAGCAGAAAAGAAGCCTGGAGGGAGATGGAAAGTAGATGAGCCCAAAGGTTAAGGATGGCTGGGCAACATCTAAAATATCTGTGAACCACTTTGAAAGTGCCTGTTGTGTGTGATTTCTTCTTGCCCTCTCTGCCTCTTTTCTCTGGTGTATGTTGCCAGCTCACTATATGGATTAAACCCAACCAAGTTATTAATTAGATTATTGTTAATTAGCGTCTCCATCAGTAGGAATTAGTTACAGTCAATATACATTCCTCGTGAAATGTTATTTCTCAAACTAATCTTTGCTCCAGAAGCGTCTTGAGGAAGAAATTTGGTTACATTGTACGTTGAAATAAGCAAGGAAGGTATCAGAGGTAAGAGACAACACTGGGGTTTACTACAAGATGCAAGTATTAAAGTATGGTGTATAGTGGAAAATGAGTTTAAATCTGCTCCTGGCATTTGAACTTTCTAAATTGTGCCAGTGACACTGCTTTAAGGATGCCAGTTTTATAATTTGTGGGCAGGAAGTTCCCTTCCTTCCCTTCCTTCAAGTTTGAACCTGGTTTGTGGTTCCGTATCCTGACGCTTCAGAACTTTTTCGGCCTTTTGTGTTGTCATTTTTCCTGTGTTTTTGCACAAAGTCTTTCCAGACTCAGACATTGAGTCAGGTTCAGCATCTTGCCCTGCATCACTGATGATCAGAGATGGAATGAAAGCACAGCCTGCAACCCACTCCTCATGGTGACTGGGTTGAAAATGAGCTGGACAGAAATGCAGTGCTGTAATAGCCCCCATGAATATGTAAGTGCAGCAGCTTGAACAGTCCTGTAATAGGTAAATCCACAGCTTCTCTATAAATACAAAAGTGAAACTCTGCCAATACATATGTCTTTATGAAAATAACTCCTGTTTAAGTAAAGATACTGCATTTGGAGATGGGTATCTTCATGCTTTGACACTTAAACTTTGTTTCTGTGTCAAGGAATTTTGTTTGTTGGGATTTCATGGATGGAAGAAGCTGTGTTTCTATGCTGCCATGTGTGAAGACAAAAGCCATGTTGGCACTTTCTGGTGATCTTTAATATGGGATGCATACAACTGGGAATGAGAGTTCACTGTTTGTGGGTGTATTTGCTGAAAATTCCATTGTATTTTAAACGGATACCTTTTGTCTCTCAAATAAGGAGAGGTGGAGGGAGTTGCAACACCTGGAGTTGCAAATCTCCAAAGTGGCCAAATTAGAAAAAAGGTTTCAGGCCAATGTTCACACACATTTAAGGCAGTTGAACTGAGGGGAACTGGGTCAGTCTGGTTGGATGGTGTTCACTCATGTGTCTGCTTTTAGCCCCAGGGTTTTACCAGCAGCTTATCTGCAAATATGTCTAGGTCTTAAAATTGTTATTGGTTTTGGATCCAATTCTCCAAAATGGATTTTAAGAGGTGAAATGCCTTATTGTTTGGACTTAGGATTGAGATCTTTTGAGATAAGTTGAAAGCTTTTGCCTGTACTCAGACACTCACTCTACAAAGTTGGGAAATGTTGTTGAATGGAAAATACTGATCTCGTCATTCCATTCTCGCTGTCTTGCCCCCAAATAAAGGTTTATATTTCACACAGGCCACAGTTTAATTTTTTTTTTTGGCCTGTTTGGATGACTGATAAGGACAGATGAATACTTGAGCTTTGTTTCTTAGTTACAGCATTTTTCTCGGCTTTAGTATGGAATAAACATTGTGACACCAGATGAGAAAACAAGCTATTATTTTACTGTAGAAATAAATTTCGTCTTTTAGTTAATTGGATGGAAGGCATCTTTTTGTAAATTTGTCCTCATTTCAGGGTCATTTCTTAGAAGCAAATTTGAGCTGCTGCTTGAAACTGCAAGTTGATGGACAAGTGAGTCAAGGAGGCAGATAACCAAGCTCTGTCACCACAGGGATGGTCAGAGCTGGCTCTGCCTCAGCAGCAAGAGCTACCAGAAATAGAAGCAGAGTTTCTGCAGGAGGAGAGAGGCAGAACCACCATAATGTCTTAGAGAAAAGAATTTCAAGTCTGCAAAGGAAGGTAGGGTCTGCAAAGGACGAAAGTATTCTCACTCCTCCTAAGAGAACCTAATTGTAATGACGATGTGTGTGCCCGCACTTCTACCCTGAATATCAGTGAAAATGCTCTGCCCAGCCTGTGGCATTGAGGGGAAATTTGCATCTGTCCTCCCTTAAACAAAAGCATGTCTCTTAATAGTAGATGCCCCTGACTAACAAGCAGTCATTGGGAAATTATGGATAGGGTGAGCACTTCAACAGTTTTTGGAAATATCCAATGATGAGAAAGGGTTTTTTTTCCAACTGGGGAATCAAAAAAAAAAAAAAGAAAACCACAAACTTTGAGAAATCACTGGTGCAGTCAATCTGTGAATGGAGAAAAAGTCTCTGTTTATTATGATTATTTCTTAGCATATCTTCTATAGGCCACACAAATGGAGGATTCATTTTCTTTGCAGCGTTGTCTCAGTCTCTGGTCTGTTACTCGGAATCCAGCAGTGTCGTGACTCACTGTTGATTCACCATTTGAAATGGTTTGGTGGGGGTTTTTGTTACTGTTTTTTAAGATCTTTATCCTCTTTTTCTGGGGACTGAGAGTGCAAATGTAGGTACCTGTGTTCTTCTGGGGCACTGTGACTGGCATCTCTTCAGTGGAGCAGGTCAGCTCTGTGTCTCTGTGTTGGGTCTGCACCGATCATGGGACGGAGGAACTGCTCGAGGGGTTTTGTAGCACATCTGGTGAGGGGAGGTTGCCAATGAATACGAACAAAAACATCCATAAAAACACTATAAAGTAAATTCAAAATTGTGCTGCTCTGCCACATCCATGTTTTGGATGTGGAGTGACTGCTGGCTTTCCAGCTGGTAGGGGAGGGTTGGGATCAGGTCAAGAAGCAGTTGCTTCTCTAACCTGCCCAGGTGTTCGAAGAGAGCGGTGCTGGGGAGCCTTGAATTACTTTGTGATATAAATTATTTCAGAAAACTAGTGCAGTTATTCTCCTCAAAAAGAAACTAGGCATTTCTGTCAACAGTGTTCTCCAGCTGAAGTGAGTTGGAAAGGTTTTAAATTACTGTCAGGTCTGCTGTGACTGAGTAGGACCTGCTGCAGCTTGATCTGTCCTGTCCTGAGAGTTTACAAAGCATCAAAGCAATCATGCATAGTTTGAAACAAACTTGAATGCCTTATTCAGGAGAGGATTTTCATGTAAGACAGTAATTAAATTTTAATTTAAGTTTATTTTTATCTATTGGCATCCATTTGCAGATGGAGCAGGTCAAATAAAAAAAACATAAATCAAAGCACCCATAAAAGAACTAGCTGGCCAGTAATTGTCCAACCTTGTATTTGTTACCCTGTTTGATCCATCTGTTAATCTAGATGGATACAGTTTGGGATATTTTAAAATTTGGGAATACTTGCTGTCACATCTTACGATTTCTGTCTGACATTCTAGAATTAAATTAATTTAGTGTGTTAAAGAGGCCCCAAATAAAGTCCCTTTGCTTTGTCTGATTGGAGGCGGATTTTGCTGTTCCATTTTGGCTTCTCTCTGATAAGAAATTTGAAACCCATTATTAACTTCAATGTAATGTCTTATTTCAGGTATTAAAACTGAAAGAACAACAGTAATAGCTAATTTGACAGGACAAGAGAAAAGAAAAAACACTATAATATATTTATATTTCATCATGACCTTTTTTCAGGATATCAGCTACTTACCTGATACTACAAAAAAAGCACATTATCTGTAAGAATATCAGATATAGCTGTTGATAGCCACACTTGTATTTAAGTGTCACTCTTTCTATACCACCACATTATCCTATGCAAACCCTGTAGCTGATGTGAGGAGGGTGTAACTTAATTCCAGAGTTCTTGGGAATGGAGATGTGAGCAGCTTTGCTCTGCTGCTTCTCCATGGTGCAGTTCACTTGAATTTGCTTATCAGTTTATCAGCTTCAAGGCTTTCCTGTGAAAGTGTTGCTTGTAACCACTGTCTGCCAGAAAACCTGCAGTTCTTACATAGCTGCCAAAACGCTTTGGAGGGAAATAGGCTTGCTTGGCTCACTAAATTTTGGTTAAAATAGATCCTACAAGCTTCTTTGTGAGTTTCTGAACAGATCTTCATGTAAGATATTTTGTGAGGGAGGGAAACCTGTCACATTTTTTAATACCACACATCTCTGGGAACCACAGTCTTGGAGCTAAGCTTGCTCTGTCTTGTCTGAATGTGGATAGAAAATCAGACCTGTTATAGGAAATCAGACCTGACTTTTCTCTAGCTGTGCTTAGATTAGCTCACAGTGAGTGTTATCCTGGCATCAGCAGGCTTCACCTTTCCTTTAGCTTACCAGGACGTTGGACAGGTCCTTCCTGTCCGTTAATGCCCCCTTTTTAAATGTGTTTATATCAAACAGTTCATAATGCACTTGTGAAGCTTTGTTCGTGTTTGCAAAGCACTTTGACGTTGATGCCAAGAGTTAATCTCTTTATCACCTTGTCGTGAAGAAATGTTGTTAAAAGCATAGTTCCAGTCTCAATTGCTGGCACCAGTTAATGTTGTTCCTGGTGAATAACTTTCAAAGCAAATAGCCTGTTTTTTTGTTTGCACCGTAACTGAGTCATCTGAACAAATTCCAAATGTTGAGGAAAAAAGTCTTGCTCCTGGCTTCTAGGATTGTTTCATTTAAGTTTTGGTCATAATTTGCAGTGGTTCACTATTGTCCGGTCTGGTTAATCCATGGAAATGGTTTTGGTGTTTGAAAA